ATTTTAACTTTGGCATTAAATGCATATCTAGCCAATGCAACATGCTGAGACCAAGAGAGTTTATCATCAATTGTAACCCCAAGGCAATTGGTGGAGGACACATACCATTCGGTATGTGTCCTCCACCATCCAGTCCCGCTTCCAAGGATGGAAGCGGAACTGGGTGACACAAGATTTCTAGGTTTTGAATGAAAAACTCTATGCAAAACCTTGAATCTACACAAGAAATTTTTATCATCGGAACAAGTTCAGCCCAATTATTTACGGAACTGAATGGACCTTACCCTCCTCTCTCCAAATCGACAAATTCACTCCAATTATTTGTCCCCAATTCTTTTGTCAGCGGAACCATTTAAAATTACCATGCGCGCATCTCTAAACGACACCAAACGTTTTACGATGGCGGCAGAAACACATGTGCGCTTCCTAATTCAAGTCTTTTAAAGATATCAAAAACTACTTTTCGCTGCTGCTTCAAGAAAGTTTCGGCCATGAAAAATTTTATCAGCTACCACGAAAGCAGATGATGGAAAATTTCTGCTCGCTTTGTCAGGCAAACGGTATAAAACGACGGCTTGTTTTGTTTCAACTGAACTTGGAGGAGGCGATTTTGCTGTGTGAAAACAAGGATGTAAGTGCATATGTTTGTGATCTTTTGGCTGGCCTTTCTCGGGCGAATTTCCTTGCTGAATTATTTGAAAGCTAAGGCGTACTATTTTAACTTTTTTTATAGTGCGTTTACCCGCTTGGTGTTACAAAGAATGCTAACTTGATAGTAAGTCGAAAAGCAACCGAAGTTGCCACGATCTCAAACTTGAAGAGAAAGCGTAAGAAGAGGCCAAAACTAAGTGAATCAGAGGTGAGATTTGCTATTTTTTTATGCAAATGTTTGAAGAAGAGGTTTTGAGCTGTTGTTTCTGGAGAAGTTACAAATTTGACCGTAAACGGAACAGCTGTTGGAAGGATTAACTTAGGCATCGGGTGTCGTTGAAACTCTCTGCTGACAGCGCACTTGTTGTGTGTTTCTCTGCTTTGGTTAGCACGAAGTGACCTGAACTCGTGTGATACACTTCTTGTTGTAGTGTTGTAAGCTTTTATATCGCGTTACTCGCGTTTTTTAAAGTTATCCTTCAAAACATGAACCATATGTTGTGCTTCTTGCTTCTTCAAGATCACGCTGCACTTACCTGTGGGAAATGCAGATAATTGGCTCTCTCTCGAAATACCTTTGACGGTAAAATACCAGGAAAGGAACCTTGTCAATCTTGCAATTATTTTTTTTATTGAAGATTTAGCATGGATGAAGAAGCTAAATGATTGAGAGGCTACATTTTCAGTCATGTGTCCTAGGGAGACATATCGCAATTACTGCAAAGGGAAACATTAAGTAGGGACAATTATTCTGAGCCATAACAACTCATTACAAGCATGAAAACCAACAAAATCAATAATTTTGCACAGACGGTCTTCATTTTTGAGCCCAGTTTGCTAAAGACTACTTAACAGGTGCAAATGTGTTTCAAGGAAAGCAATATTTGCCATAAATTCAACATTTTGTTCTCCAACTACTTGTCTTACTATTGTTTTTTTAAGAACACATTAAAAACAGGTGTTTGTGTCATTAAATAGAACTGACTGTGAAGGGTATTGGAGATTTTACCATAAATAATTATTAGCCTCCAGCTCTGTGAATATTGTCGAATCATCCCCAATACAAAGTTGAGGGGATTATTCAACAATATTCACAAGGCCAATGGCAAATAATTGTCTGTGTATAGTTGCTCAGTTGCTTTCATATTCTGCTGTAAATTTTTGAAATCATTCTGTTACAATCGTTTTGATGACTTGTATGGAGAGAAGCAGCCAGTTGTCAATAGAATTAAACAGGTTTATTCAGTTCAATCAGCAAAATATACATATTTCCTTTGAAAAGTATTATCCCAAACTTAGTATCTTGTGCTCTTCAGATTTGTATTTTCTTCTATTGCATCAATCACTTTTTGTGTTTTCTTAACAAAATGCCAGGCAGTCATTTTGAAATTTTGTGCCCCTGCTACACAATGCTTTTCCAATCAGACCATGTGTATCTCTATAGTTATGGGAGCAATTACACTGACTCAGGATATGCTATAATAACCAAAGACTAGATTATAAATGCAGCATTTGCTATTTCAGTCTCCTACAGAGGTATCCTGTTGGTCATTTGTCCTTTACAAAGTTGGATATGATGGTTGCAACCTCTCCTATCTATCTTTAAAATGACAGCAGCAATACTCTCATTTTTCAGGAACCAGAAAATATTCCACCAGGTTCCAAGGTTGCTGAAAAGATCTTGCAATGGAGAAATGCTGATTGCCTCTGTTGGCTAAATTCTCTATTATCTCTTCTTGTTAACAATGTCACTCTGGGAAGTCTTGTGCTAAAACCAGACTCGCTGGTTAGGACTTTGACTGAGTCTTTCAATCAGGCCCAAGAACTCTCTTCAACAAACAGAGAACAAGCTGAAAATGTCTTAAAAGATGTCAGAGGGACAATTTGGAAACATCTGCAGCCCAAAATGAAGTGTCAACTTGGAGTAAATGATAGTCCTGTGGCAGCTCTACCCCTGTTGTTGCAGGAAAATAACTTGGTGGCTGAGAGGTTTCTGCAAGAGTATCACTGGGAATTTAGTTGTTCTGCCTGTGGGTATCAACAAATTGACAAGTAAGACAAACATAGTGTTTTGGCACTTAATTTTGCAATTTAGGCAAGATAGTATTTCTTGGATGGGGTCTCATATTTGAGATATCAATAGGCAGATATGAAATCAGGGCATTGAATTTTGCAATTCAAGCACTCTCAACTTCATTTTATTTTTTAAAATTTCCTAACCTCTGAAAACTGCATCAAAGATGTTTAAAGGAATTGGACAAATCTAGCAATTTGGATGAAGTTGATTGCACTTAATTTTCTACCCCATAAATGGTATCATTTCAAATTAACGACAGAAAATACAAAGTTTAACTTATCAGTATGAGCAGAAGATTATTTGTTGATACATTTCCTCTACCTCTATATGTTATTACATGTTGAACCTTTTTTTCTCTGATTTGAATTTTCTTAAGGGGATTAAATTTTTCGGGGTTTAGATTTCACAAGGATTTTTACTCATGTTTTTAATTTTGCAATTTTTTAACAAGTACAAAAGAATGCAAAATTAAAGACCAAAGGAATTAAATACCCATTAGAAAGATAGTTATGTGCTCGTAAGTATGGACTGAAACCAAGTTTGAATTACAATCAGTTCAGTATTCTCTGAGAAATCTCACTGGATTTCATCCTCTTTGCTCAGAGAGATAGTTTTTGTGTACAAGTTTTGAAACTAAAGCTGAAGGATTTGATTAGGAATGGTGTAAAACCATCTAAATCCTGGAAATGATTCGCATGTAACTTTTTCTTTAAAGTAGCCATACACCATCCAGCAAACAGGTAAGGAGACTACTTAAACTTGTCAGGTAGAAGTTTTCATCATAGATCTCCCTTATTTTCCATATTTCTATTTTATTGTAGGAGAAAGAAGCATTTGGTCACTTTTCCAAACGTAGCAAAGGACTTCAGCTTGCAAAATCTGGGGTTTACAAGGCCATGCTACAAATGTAATGCTCTTGGTCAGACAAGCAAACTTGTGTTTGACAGGTATTGTGTATGTTGTCTTTGTAGTGTGCAGCATCTGGTTACTATTGTGTTTGTCACTAAACTGCTCTGCTGAAGAACTTTTTTTTTTTTTAACCATCAAGAGTTTTCTTAGCTGGTGATCATTTCCTTTATTCTCATGACTTTGACATGTGATTCAGCAAAGATACTAGTCTCTTGGGAATCAAAGGGTTCATTGTTCAAGACTCCACATGATCTTGAGTGAGTGGGAACTTTTTCAAGGGCTTTATACATGTCTTTTACTTCCACAGAATGCCTGATTGCATTTTCCTTCACTTTGAGCAAGGATTGAAAGAAGGGACATCCGAAGATCTTGATTTTGATGGGGAATGTGGCCATTATAGTTTCTCACAGTTTATTCAGTACAAAAGGAATCCAGATCATTTTGTTTGCTGGACAAAGGACCACTAAGGTACAAGGCATTCAGTTTGAAGTGTTTCTTTTTAGTTCAAACTCTTCGAAGTATTTTGTTGATGTTCATGTGCCGTAATACAATCCTGGTATCGAAGGAAACACTGAAACATGAGCAAACTGTGATACCCCTTACAGGTGCTTTACATGTACGTACATATACAAATTGTGATTGCGCTGTCATTAGATTTTGCACTTCCCTTATGATTGTCATTTTTTTTTTTTTTTTTTTTTCTTGCAGGGAAAAGATGGATGGAATTAGATGATCTGAAATCACCCATATGCAGTTGGAGTTCTTCACTGCCAAATGTTCCTCTGTCAGAAGTGCATATTGCAGTTTGGGAAAAAGTGTCAGTTGTTATCAATCCCCTGCTTCCTCTCCCTAAAATGAAGGAGATCAGAACAGAGATCAAAACTAACCATACTGCACAACCTACCCAGTACACTAGAATGTCAAAGATATCCTCTATGCCATTGTTCAGTATTCATTGCAGCCAAACCATCACTTCATCTCAGGATATCAACAAAGCCCTTTGTTCACCACCCCCTAACTCCCCTGCATTATCACCATCAAGGAGCAGAACAGCATTAAATTTGTCACTCAAAACAAGAAGTGAACAATTTGAACCTTACATTCCCAGGAAAAAAAGACTTGTTACCCAGAGCTGCCCTAGCTCACCTCCCTGTGTTAATAATCCAACAATGGATTTCAATAGGATTACCTTACAGCCGTTTTTGACATGGCAAGAAGTCAAGGAACAAAACAAGAAGTTAAGTGTTGATGAATTGCAGAGTGATAGTGGATACTCAAGTCCAGCCTCTGTAAGTTCTTGTGGTAGCCTTGTGAGTGGTCAGTCAAATACAGCTGTGTCAGTTGATGAACCTCTGGAAGAAGTTCAGGAGGACGACCATGTAAAGCGAAAGGTTGTTGGTCAGACCAATTGTCTTGATGACACAAACCTAGTTTCCAAGGGCTTGGATTCATCTTCACATATAAGGAGCAGTGGTTTAGTATGCAAGGTAGACTCATTGAACTTGGCAGATAAACTTGAACAGCTGCTACCAGACTGCTTACTTGGGAATCTCAGGGATTTAGAGAAGAATCCCAGGGAATTAGCTAAGGATAGGACAGTGGATGGTAACGAGACAGACCTGGAGAACATTGGCAATCTTTCTGCCCAGCAAGATCAGTTCATTCTTGACTTACTGCTTTCTTAAGAAAATCCTTCAGTAACTTTTTTTTATAATTGTAAGATTGTTTTGTAATAAAGAAACTGTTTCATATCACTGTAGATAACTGTGCACAATTGTGTATTTTCCTGGTCAGTAAACCAGTACTCAAACTCTTTTTCACTATTGGCATGTGACATAGCAAAGAGTGTCAACCTTATACCCTCTTAACTTCTTCTAACTAATAATAATATAATGACAATTTATATATATCTTAGTAACCAAGCACAAGGGCCGTACTGGGAGAATATCGGCCCGAGGTCTTGACCGAGGGCCGATATTCTTCCAGTACGGTCCCGAGCAAGCTTGGTTAATGAGAGATTTATTATATGACTGAAGTTCAAAGGGACACAAGTGTGGGTATCATTCGGGACCATTTGGGACAGTGCCCGGTTCAATACTTAAAGAATATTGGACTGGCAATAGAGCATTTTGATTGGTTGGATTTAGTTATTGGCCCTCTGATTGCCCGAGTTGTATTATAAATAGTACTTATTGCAAGCCTCTAAGTGCTTAACAATGTTTTGCAGGAGACTTAACAGACAGCTTGCTGCAGTTTACAATTTTTCATGAAGACTAATTTTAACAGATGCCCCTAATTTCAGTAAACAGGCCAGGGCACAACACTGGGATCTACATCCCATACTCGTTGTGACAAGTGTGTGGGTTCTTTATTGTCCTCAGCTAACCAGTACAAAGAAGCTGCAGAAGACGGGGCCTAAGGTTTTCATCCTTATCTGAGAAGACTAGAATGTCTAACCATTTGCAGATATTATGGCAAAGGCAGCACTTTCTCCTTAGTTATTTTAAGACCCCTGAGTGTTGGTCCAGTCTGGGGATAGAACCCTTGGCCTTCCACATGACAGTCCAGTGCTTTACCATTTTGAGTTTACCATTTGGTGGCTATCTGCCATACAATTCTTATGAGGTCAGTTCTGAGAATTTGTTATTGGATCAACTAATAATCCCCTTGTTTATGTGTTTATTCTCATCACATATATGCTGGACACTGCATTGATATTGTAAAGAGAAATTCTGTCATGGTTGCGTACGAGACTGCTTACCCAAAGCCTCTTTTCTTGTGTCTTTTTACTGGGCTGAACATTTCAGCTTGAGGACTTTTTTTTATTGAGTTTTGGAGAACTAGAACTAAAGTGGTCACAGTAACAAATCAGGTACAAACAATTTATTGCAAGGTGTCCATGATAGTGATAAGCAGCACTACACAAACTTCTTAAAGTATGGGAGAACTTAAGGGTTGACTTACAATTGGTTTTCATTTAGAAACTGATCAGTTGAAGAGCAGTGTTTGGCACCAATCTAAAACCAAAGTAATGCAAAACCAAGAAACACGGAAATGAAATCTGTTTGTTTTGGATGATAAAAAAGCAAATTGTTGTTAATGGTGGCCTCATATATGCAACTGTCTTGCATTGTAAAAAAATAAGACCAATCAAATTTTGGTATAATCAGGTTAATATAATTACATAATAATTTGGGTTTATCAATTGAGTCTATGTAGATTGGCAACTATAAAAGGTTTAAAGCTGGCACTTTGAACCCATTCGCTCTGAGGAAAGCTACTGCTCAAAAAGTCAGCTTTTAAATCCTCTATGCTGGCATGTTCACATCATCAATTCGGTTGATAAAACCAAATTACCTTGTTACCCTCTTGAGGGAGCACCACAGTTTATTCAAAAACACACCACCTCTTATTCAATTACAGCTTTACAAATCCATATTCAACCCGGATAAAAATTACACTTTGTTTCAAACTGATTATTTGCATTAAGACTAATACTCTGGTTCGCTTGCAGCTTGCGTTGCAAAAGTTTGTGTTCAATCCGTTGTCCAACCCCTGAATATGACCTGAAACCAACATCGCTCATTTCGATATTAACAACTTTGCTTCCTTTTTTAGTCATCTCCACGGTGGCGGTTTATAAGCCGAATTGGGTCTTTTCCCCGCACTTTGACTTCTTGAACTCACTCTAGACGAGGAGCGGAAACTTTGAGGAGTTCTTGATCTAGAACTAGCTTCGAGTTCATCGCTAGAATTATCAAACACAAGCCTAGAGTTACAATCGAATAACAATGGTCTGTCTCGCCTTTTCTCGCTTTGCTTTTCCCATGGAGGCTCAAATTTACCCGAAGGAGGAGAATCAGAGCGTTTAGTCCTTCTTTCCCCGAAGAGCGTTTCATCGACGTGAGTGGGAGAAAATTTTACTGGTTTGTAACCACGCGTTGGGGCACTACGAGTCCTTGAAGAGGGCCTTGTCTGCGACGTCGGACAGTAAAACAACAGCGGTTTAGAAGGTGTTTTGGTTGGAAAATTTCTACGGTCGACCCAAGGTGGTTCAAATTCAGGAACATTAACGGTTTCTCTTGCTTTGACACGTTCTCCAAATAGTGTTTCGTCAACTGTCGAGCGGACGAATTTCATCCTGCTTGCGTTAGATGCTTCCATTCTTTACAAAACCGCAATTCACGTAAAATTCCAGTCCTCCTGGTTTTTTTGTTTTGTTTTGTTTTTTTTTTTTTACACGTTTCAGCACTTTTCATATGTTCGTCCTCCTTGAAAGCGAGTTTTAAGCAAAATACCTTTGCCTTTTTGTACTAGGTGAAGTCACGTCTGCGACTTCGACGTTTGTTTGGTTGTCTGTCTGTCTGCAGGGCTTGGAGGCTTGGTTGCTTCGTTGTAGTTCACAGGTCCCCTGTTATCTCACCCGGCTGATGTCGGCCGTGAATGAAATATACCGATAGTGTCATCCATACAGGCTTAGAATAATTGATGTTTAAGACTACACCCTATACGTCGTGATCATATACCTATGTATGTTTCTCAAAGCAACAACAACAGCTGTAGAGGAATTAGGAAAAACCGAGCTGCGAACTATTTTATATTCTTCTTCGATGTATCTCGAGCTTCATCAACGCATGAAGCGCGCCGCTCACCACTTGTATAATGTCATTTGTGTGTTGCAAATTAAGTCGGGTATACCATTCGACACTTACAATTGCACCAACGCGTTCGTGGGTATCATCAGGCAAAAAGGAATCCATAGATCGCTTGAAAAATATACAAGCAAATTTGACTGCATGATTTGCAAAATGCTTTTTACTAACATGAAGCCTACATTGGGCACGCAGATGACTCAATTCGAGCCAAACTTTTTACTTGACACTTAGTCGTTATTTCACCTTTGGGAACTATACCCATAGGAGAAAAAAAAAATTTTCTCTATTATTTTATATCGCTTTCACTTGATAATGACGTGAAGCAATGGCGAAAAGTCGTCAAAAATATACTTTGCTAACAGTTTTTACAGTTTTTTTTTTCTGAAGTTTTTATGTATTTCAATAACGATCTACCGTTGAACTTTGCAATGAAATCTCCTGATTTACCAAAATAACGCGTGACGTAACGTAACTTGATAGAACGTAACGTGACATAGCGTAACGTAACGTAACTTGATGTAACGCAACGCTGAAGTTCTACGATGCTTACTTTGACAACAACAACAATAAAAACAATCCTTGAATGTGACTGATGTCTCATAGTCCCAGAGAACTTTTCCTTGTTGTATAAGTAAAGATTTAAATCGAAGAAACGACAGATTTTCCTGGTTATCCGCTTGCGTTCGTTGATTGGTAACCTTAAATCACCTTCAGAATTGTCCAGTTTCTATTTTGCAATGACCTTTACGACCTCTTTCTAGGTATAACACGTACTTGAAAAGGCTTACATTCGATCACTAATCCATTAACGCTTTCTTCTTCTTTGGGTAATGTTGTTCCTTCGGGGCACTCAAATCTGAATCTGCTCAGCAATCGGGCGAGATACAAGAAGACCAATTTCTTCCCAAAAAACTCTCCTGGACATGACCGTTTTCCAGCTGAAAATGACATGACGCCCTCCACGTGTGGTTGGCCCTGTCTGTCCAAGAAACGCTCTGGCCGGAAGCTAAATGGGTCGCCCCAAATATCGGGATCATGGTGGATGGCCCAGAGGTTAATAAGCACAGTCATATCCCGAGGGATCTTAAATCCAGCAAGGGACGTGTCCCGTGTGGTTGAGTGGGGCACAGCCAGCGGAGTTTCACTCACAATACGGAGAACCTCGGTGATGAATGCATTCAAGAAGGGCAAGTTTGGTTTGTCCGAAATCTCTGGCAGGCGATCAGTGTTTCCTAGGACGTCATCCAACTGACGATGGAGCCTGGCCTGCACATTCGGGTGTTTGATGACATAAAATATGGCCCAGGTGATAACAGTGTAAGGAGTTTCAGTGCCAGGAAAAAAGAAATCAGAGGCGCTGTAATTTATTCAATAGAGAAAATAAATTTGAATGAGACATGAACAGTAACGTATGCAACATTGCAGTCTAAGTTTGTGCTTGCCCAATCGATAAGATCCCAAGATTTGATTGTTGATTCTCACCTCTGACTGCTACACGTACACTACCTTTAATTACGAGAATTTGGTGGTAAATCCCGATAAAAACTTCCATCTGATAAGTTTGAATATTCTCACCACCTGTTTGCTTGCTTATGTATGGATATTATAGGGAGAAATTACGTTTTAATCACTCCTGGGAGTAAAAGGTTAAAGGTCTGCTTTCGTTTCACTTTGATTTCAAGATATTTCAAACTTCAGTTAATCGCGAGTGAGTGCAGTTCCACCGTCTCAGAACGTTGGTGATGCGAAAACTCAGACCTCAAAAACCCAGGCCAAGATCCCCTACTATGGGAAGGATCCTCCCTCATTGGCAGCCAATTTTCTACAGTGCCCTCTTTACACTCTGTTAGCAACGACTGTCCACCCCTTCTCCGCTCCCTCTTAAAACTATGGGATTCCCCCTGGCGGAAAATCCTCCGACCATCTCCCAGGCGATAAATAATTACTGGACCCCTATTGCTTCTTTTGGCATTAGTTATTAAAAATTGTCATCAGCCGTGTTGGAACTCTTAATTTCTGAATAATGAAAAACTTTCCTTAGAATTTTAAAATTCCAATTTCTTACTGTTCTTTCGTGCATAAAAATAATGCACATAACTCCTTGCGTAAGTTTAGAACAATGTAGGACATAATTTTCACCCTACCTAGAAACTAACTGCTCCTTGGTCAGTAGACCATCGTGAGAAATTTCATGGAAACCCTTCCACAAGGCATCAATCAAATCGCGGATATTGTCCTTCTGAAAGGTCAAAATATGTTCTTCAAACTTCCTTTCAAAAATTTCATCACGGATTTCTCCAGCGCGCTTTGTGTTCTTGAAGATGTCCATAGGAATATACTTCAACATTGGGAAAGTATCGATCATGTTACCTGCACTGAGTGACTCGCGAAAAACTTGCACAGCGTATACAAGCATTTCTACCTCTCGATCATTTAGTTTGTGTTCTTTGCCGAAAATTAGAGACGAGAGGCAATTGGCTACAGAGTTGATCATTATATCATGAAGATAAAATGGCTTTCCATCAAAGGAATTCAATCTACTACATAACTTTTCTGTATGATCAGCTATGTTGGCTTTGTTCTCAGAAAGTCGCAGAGCTGTTACTGCAAGTTTATGCTGTATCTTCCATCTGTTATTTAGAGATTGAAAAGCGAAATCGGTGCGATTTCGGCCAAAGACATCTCCGAAGAAATGTCGAGGTCGACCGGCGAAATCTGTGGCTTTTGTGACAAGAGCTTCTTTCGCGATCTCGTAGCTGTTGATCACTATCATCCTTCGTCTTCCCATGTGGATTCGGAATAATTTTCCATACTTATCAGCCATGTTAGCGAAGTCAGCATGAGGCCGCTTAAGATCAATGGAAAGAAGGTTTCCAACCAGGGGTAGCGGGAATGGACCAGGCGGAAGGTGGCGAGTTTGCCATATTGAGGGCAGCACATAGAGTGCCATAAACAGAATGAAAATGCCGATGACTGCAGGTATCATGACTTTACTGCAGAACCCACTGGTGCTTAATTGGACTGAAATGACGCTTTACGCTTTTCAATAGGCGTATTCCAGAGGTATTCAAGAGCGTATTCCAGAGGTTGATACAAACTTTGGGAAAATTAAAGCCTTCAGGCTGCTAGACAAACACAAATAACTTATTATCTTCACAATCCATTTTTGGCTCTAATTATGCGTGTTAAACCCTGTGTATTGCGGAATAGGCATGAGATCAGGCAATTTCCGTGTTGTTATCATCTATAGCCACAGTCCACGAACTTTGCACATACACATGTTTTAACACGCATAATTAGAGCCAAAAATTGGATTATGAAGATAATAAGTTATTTGTGTTTGTCTAGCAGCCTGAGGGCTTTTTCCCAAAATTTGTATCAACCTCTGGAATACGCTCTTGCACGCAAAGCAGAGTTCATTGAAGGCTGGTGGCTGCGGCTGTCTCAGCTTGTAATTAATATCTATATCTAGCTTAACTTTCCTGTGGAGTCTTATCTGCTAAAAAACTACCTGAGAGACCAGGTCAACCAAAGCAACCCCCCCTCCCCTCTCCCCGATCCACCGATCCAATCAGTTCTCCCCACGAGAAGATACCAATGGATCTTAAAAACTTCTAAAGAACAAGTCAATTCGTAACCTTTTTTTAATCTTCACTAACATGTGACACTCTCCCCTAGATTGACCTAGAAAGGAAAGAGAGCGCCAAAAATACAATCACAAGTAACATTAGCCTGAATATGAGGGTTAATCTCATTAAACAAAGGATTTGAACATAATGCACGTATGCATATTGTCTTTGTGGAACTTCTCTCATCAGAATTTAGCTTAAGACTCTCTATTCAGGGAACAATTTTGTTGTCCCGTCCTACATCCCTCTATTGAAAGGGCCACTGTAAATACTGTTAAATTTAGCCGAGTTATTGAATTTACACAATTGAAAGAAACGATAAAAGGTATTCGATACCGAAAGCTTTCAAGTGATGAGAGATAATAAAAAAATAAAAAAAATTCTTTGTCAACGGCGCACGGAATTTAGAGTCATGCAGTATGAATTAGAGAGTGTAGAAAAGTGATATAATTCAAATATTTGTTTTTGTTAATCTCTTGAGTGTGATCCAAATGATAACCTACATCTCAAATAAAAACAAACTAGATTTCACGTGCAAGGTTATTCAGTTACCCTTAGTATACTGAAACAATGCCGGATAGCGTTAGAGGCGCATTCTGATTAGCAGCTCGAACTTCGAATATAGTCTGCTATTCACCTCCGCGCAACTCCCGTTAGAATGTATTGTATTCACTGCAGGAACTTGAAATGAGTTAACGAATCGTTTTTTTGTTGTTGTTGTGTTACAACTATTCACCTCAGTGTCGGAGGCTAACCGTGGAAATATCATCCATCAGCTTCATACCTATACCTCAGTGGACTGAGTTGCTAATTATCATCCGCTTAAGCAAAATCTGCATGATTATCTAGCTGCATGGAGAGACAGACAGTTACATAGACGCGACGACAAACAGGCTAGTTTTAAGCCGAGAACTCGCTGGGTTGGCCGTCGCACAGATATCACGAAACATTTCGTAATTTCTTTTTTAATTCTACAAATCACAAAATTTTCTGGATACAACCAAAAACAAAAATATGTCTAAAAATCTAATAAACCTTACTTAAGTTTTCGAACGGGGCTGATATCATATAAAAAAGAAAAAACGACATCTTTTACTTAAGCCACAAATCCGAAATGTAAACTTTTCGTCACGAAGCTGTAAAACAAACAAAATAAATTGTCTTTCGAATAATCGGTTTACGTGCGTCGACCGGAGACCTGTGTCAATTCCTTTGAATATTCTAGTTTCCAGTTTGTCCTAAACTCTGAATGAAGATACAGAGAGGGCTATTAGCAGAATAAGCCTTTTAGTTGTTGTTTTCCTAATTATTCAACCGAGAAAGTGACTTATTTTCTTTTCTATCTATGCATTTGATTTTCATCAATCTTCTCGCCAGTTTTTGTTAATATTAGTCACCATCGGCCAAGGTTAGGCCTGTATTGTTTCCTTGCAACAGGAAAGGACTATTGAAAATAGACTGTGAAGCTCCTATACTTTATGAGAATAAGGAATCGTGATGAGGAAACTTGCAGAAGTAATCGGGAAGAGGGAATCGGGAAAAGAAAATCGGGAAGAGGTAATTGGGAAGAGAAAATCGGGAAGAGCAAATCGGGAAGAGGAATTCAGAAAAAGGAATTTGGGAAGAGAAAATCGGGAAGAGGATATCGAGGAGAGGAAATCGGGAGGAGGAAACCGGGAAGAAGAAATTGGGAAAAGGAAATCGGGAAGAGGAAATCGGGAAGAGGAAATCGGGAAGAGAAAATCGAGAGGAGAAAATCGAGAAGAGGGAATCGGAGAGAGGGAATCATAAAGAGAGACCGGGTATCGTGTACAGGGGATGCGGCCTTAAGGTTAAGTATTGTACTATCGAATTCTGTGGAATAAGCCATTGAAAACTAACTCCAAACAGCTAGGAGTGAGCCAGGGCAAGTTTCAGTTGAGTGCGCGAGAAGTCCGGATATGCCTTGGTTTGGTTTGATTTCGCTCTGTGATTGGATGAGAAACTATCTTTAAACTTAAGTCAATCTCGATTCGGCTGGAAACGGCCGCTAGCGAGAACAAGTCATTCTACAGAAGCAAGTAATTTTACTTTTGCGACACAAAAGTAAAGTTTCCCTATACGTCCGTCAATTGTTCAACTTGTTTTTATCATTCTTGTTCGAGAACTAGACACCCCCCTTTTTCTCGTCAGTTTTCATCGCCTTTTTGGAGATGAACTCACTCGTAACATTATGTTACGCTATCAAATGTCGGGGGGGGGGAGCTAGGCGTTCAGCATACTACGCTCGGCGAAAGGCACGAAGACTCTCCAACTGACTTTTTCTGCTTAATTCAATTACACGGTTCTCCGATACACAATTCAATTCTACTTACATCTAAGTTTACTTCATTCTGTGTAACTCTGGTTTATCTCTTACGCTCTCACACTTTGATTCTCAGTGAATATTCACTGAATTGTGCTGCTAAACACTCACGTCAATGGCGGAATTGTTGTTTCGTTTAGTAAATAGGCGTTGCCTATGATGACAGATATAATTTAATTAACACAACTCGTGATTGACTTTAATTCCTCACAATGATTTAAAGTACGTATGATGCACGATCCTCGCAGTAGATAGGGCTATTTATGCAATAGCGAAAATCAGACCTGAAAAAAATCAGGCCTGTATCTAATACCGCAGTTCAAAATATATGAACTTCATATATTTATCAGTCCATCTCATTTATCACTTTCACGGGTTTATTACGAATCAACTTAACGGCCTGCTCCCAGTTGGCTTGTTAGCTCAATTGGTAGAGCGCTGTAGGTCAGTGGTTCGAGTTCCGTACAGGCCTGATTTTTTTCAGGTCTGATTTTCGCTATTGCTTAAATAGCGCTATCTACTGCGAGGATCGTGCATCATACGTATCTAATATCGCAGTTCAAAATGTATGAACTTCATATATTTATTCTATCTCAATGATTTAAAGTGTTAGCTTGTCATGACTTAAACTAGTTTTTCAGAAGAATCAGTAAGAGAGAGAAGTCGATTTTGTATCTGTTCGCTTACCCGAATCAGCTAACCTGAAGTGAGAAACCTGTTTTTACGACCCGCCACGGAAGTAAGTTTCCAGTCATGTTTTCTTGAATTTTGCCATGAGACTAAGAATAAATTTGCGTTTTCTGATTTCGAATTACAAATGTATTTCTCTTCGATCGAATAATCACTAAAGTTTGGATAATATTATACGGTTTGTGGTGGTCGTCTGAGCTGACCAGTTCCGAGTAGGGAAACAATTGTGTCTCTTTACTCCTCTGCACACTGAATTATTTCTTCTGGTTCATTCTCTTCTCTCTAATCTAAGTAAGCTCTAAAGAAAACGCTCATATATTCACAATTGATAGGTATGGGTGGGCGCACGTAACCAAACAGTTCCACGCGATCAACTGAATCAACCTCTGAACCTCTGGCTGTGTTAACCAAAACAAGAACTTTCGTGTGGGTCCAAAGGTCTGTAGACAAACTGAGTATGTGCGCGTCCTCTATGGAAAGTAGACAATTAAGACTGTCTCAATTCGGAAACTCGTCGCTGCAGCTTGATAAATCTAATGAAATATGAATTTGAATTCATACACTACCTTCATTCTAAATATCAATGAAAGCTTAAATCATTCTGGACTGACTTAATAACTGACTAACGTTTGTGTGTTTTTCGTCAGGGAAATTGTTGTTATACAGGGCTAACCTAGACCTCACGATTTTCCCTTTTCGGGATGTATTTTTTATATTTGCGTTGTAGCTTCCTGAATAAATGTTATGTTATGTTAACTAAACTAACGAAATCCTTTATAACAACTAGATTGTGGTAAGCTCATATGCGGATGACTCAAAAAAACAAACTTCCGTTTAAGAAAGGTTGTTTATAGTTGATTTCAGTGGAATTGGCATATTACAAAATACTAGGCCAATAGCTTCCTTTTCTCCTTCATATGTTCTTGATAAAACCCTGTTTTTGATACACTTTAGCTGCAGGCTGATTTGATTTTTCTTCTTAACTCTTGAAAAAGAGTGCTTTAACCGAGAGCCAAAAGATAGCGTTCAACTCGCTTGTTGTTTGTGTAAGTGTTTCAGTCAACTAAAATTTGACCGTGAAATGTAAATAGTAACGCTATTAGGTCCTTTAACTTGGCAGATTGCTGAATGTAGGTCACTCGAGATATTAGGAAAGGTTACATATACTTTTTTCTGGAAAAACAGCGCGAGATATCTCTCTTTAAGGTATTTTTACTGATGTTCAGAACATTTAAGCCAGTTGCAAAGTGAAAATAAAAAAACTCCCCACAGGATTTAAATGAGCTGTTTACACAGGAAGGTGACGAAACAAATTGGAAAATTTTTCTGTACACTCTTGTCTGTCATCAAAATCGCTGGTGGATTTACAGTGTTGTACTTGCAAGTTAACAATTAACGTTGCGAAATACGAGCTAGAGCCAGTCGCCGAATGCAGAATCTGAAAATTTGTTGCAAGGCTCGGTTTTTATCGCACGTGAGTGCCATATCGTTTTCATCTCACGAGGCAATGGATTGGAAACGTATTCTCGTGGTTTTACTGGGCTGCCTTGCTACGTATTTCTCGGCGCCTGGTGAGTAATTGTAATTGCGTATTGTTAATTAGGCAACAAGAGAGGTCAAACTCCCACCTTTTAGCATAATAGAATGATGTGAAGTCTTACAGTGAGCTTCGCAGCGCTTCAACAAAATAGGAACGGGAATATATTTTAAGTAAATCGATACACTGTTAAACGACTGAGATCTAGGGGAGAAATGACACTCGATGAACTATGCTCATGTCAATTGTTAGGGTCAGCATTCAAAATACATACAATGAATTTGCGGCAAGAATCCCTAGGCCTTATAACCCCATACGTGATTATGCATTCAATTTTTGGATGAAGGAAAGCAAAGGCAAAACAACAGATTTCCTTTGTGACTACGGCTTTTTTTTATTGGTATGTTATACGGAAATCTTTCCGAATTTGCTAATGTTTGAGATCATTCGAGTTTCTTAACATTAATTAACATCTTTCTGTAAATATCTACATTTTTAAATGCCTCGAATTGTATCCTTTGTCGGAGATTGTTCTGGACTCAAGAGGTTGTGAGATTTATAAACAATCGAATGTCTGTCAACCCAAAATCCATGGATTTGCGTTTTCAGGAACAGACGTCCTGTTCTGACGTAGATAGTTTCGAATCATCTCTGATGCCAAACGACTAATGATAAATGGGACGAGATGAATAATTTTGTTCCAGAGCGAAAACTGAGACCTTTGTTACTTTCCATTGTGATGAGCCCAAACATGTATTTTATAAGCAAAGAACTGTTTATCTTCACGTCTTTACTGACAAAATCATGGTAAAAGTTTTCTCTCGTAAGGAGTATCTTTAGCAAAATAAACTCCACGGGATTTCAGTCCTACCATTTTATCATTCAAGCGGAGTTAACACACCAAACGATTGTCTTGATTGGAATTAATACAAAAATAGCGTGCTCTTACTACATCCATTACGTAAAAACAATCAGCCGAAAAAAATATTCAGTAATATTAATTCGCAGGTAAACAAAAAATCACGTCAAGATTGAGGGCGCACGAAAATTTACGAATAAATAGCGTAGGAAACCACAAACGAAGTTGCAAATCAGTCCTAAGTTAATTGAGAACTTTCGCTAAGAGGTCAATTCTTAGTTTACAAATTATCGCTCTCCATTTATTTTTAATCCATAAATTGAAATTATTCTTTAAAGGAGTTCAGCTCTTAACTTTGTCAATCGTCTTTTGTTTGTATTTTTTCCTAATATTTTTTCTTTATTTTAAATAATCGTAGCCACAGCAACGCAACAACGGTGCGGTACCTTTATCATCTAGGCCTTGCCACATTGCCTCCATCTTGAGGGAGATTACAAACTATTAGGGCGTAGTTAACGGGTGGTCGCGGGGTGCATGTCACCCCCCTTACCTTTGCAAGATTATGGTTGCTTTTTTTTTTATTATTCAATGACAGATGAACGTTACAATTCAGGTGGCGAAATCTCGCGAATCCAAAGAATCCGTATGGTTTACGTCCTTTTAAGCAGTAGATCAGGATGTTCCCTTTGTCGTTCCTTCTCGCTGCGTGAATACGAACCTGCTGATACAAAATAAAGTCCCGCGGCGTAAACCGCGTAACGTATTGTGAGCCGAAACTCGCAGCTGTGCCCCTCCCCACACTCTCCTCAGACAGTCGTAGCTACGGCCAGGGAAAATTAGCCTGGCTCTACAGAAGTAAACTAAATTTGGAAGAACAATCTGCAAGCGAGGATAATTAACGGCAGATATACGTAAATGCCTGAATGACAATAAGGACATTTGTCATTTTTAAGTGAATTAGCATCGTCAATTTTATTTACTTTTTCGAATTGTTTTCAATTGTTCTCTTTTTTTGTATCTTTATGAATACTATATTTTTTACATTTATATTTTACATCATATTGTTCTTAGGACACATGATACTGGCTCTTAAATTAAAGGAAAATTTTTCAGCTCGCGGTTTAACTTAGATATGCAATCGATCTGTAACAACCAAATATTAAATCTTAACTTGAGGATTGACACCGGTGTACATTTATTCTTTGTGTTTGTTAGCTTTGGCAAACAATTGTACCGCGATTAAAACGAATTTGACGCTGGTACCCTGTGGTCATCACAACACGTCACAAGATGAGTGTTTGAGTTGGGGATGCTGTTGGAATTCATCTTCTAGTGAGTGCTATGGGATCACAAGTAATAAGTCAAGAGGCAATTCAACACACACAAGCAGTGTCCCCATGACAACGTCTTATGTTTCAAGTACCAATGCTCCTCTCTCCACCCCAGCTGGGTAAGTAACTTAACTCTTAGTAACTGTCTTTTGATGTACTCTATACTAGTGTGATTGACAGTTAATACCAGCTTCTTCAACCGACACTGAGGTAAGAAAAAACTGCGGCGAGACGAGGAGCCATTTTGTTTCTCTTCGCCCGCTTGGAGGTGTAAACACTTTGCCTTCTTCGAGCCAGCCAGCCAATCAGTACGCGCAAAAAGCATATTTGCATACATGCTAATCCTTATTTATCATTTTCAGTCCCAGGGGCACGTGCCAGGTATATCATGGCCAAGTGTGTGACCCATGGCTGAACTACACTATGCTGGAATACCGCTGGTCCCCGAGATTCATTGACAACAGATTCGGACTGAATGGAACCGAGCTTGTGATAGTGGAGTTTATCTACGCCATTAATAGAATCGATGGCCAAGAAAAATGTAAGAATATATTGAAAGCTATCCTCTGTTTATACGTTCTGCCACCGTGTGACGCGAACAGTGTACGGTACCACTATTGCAGAGAAGACTGCGAAGCTGTTTTCCAAAAGTGTTATGCCGCTATGAGAGAAATGCTTGGAGCTGCAAAGTACATTCTGGAAAAACTTGGAATTGAATTCGCGCACATCGGAGTTCCTGACTGCACCAAGCTAAACTATTCTGCTAGCTATGAGGCTACTAATAGCACCTGCTTACACTGGGGTCTGTTCGGTAAGTAAGCTGTCGAAAGGTATATATTACGATTCCAATATTTTGTATTGTTCAAGTTGGTCATTTGCGACCAAAGAAATTACTATCCATTATTTATCATCCAGTCACTTTTTCTTTCTTATTTTGATCCATTCTTCTGTTTTTCTATTCTATTTAAGTAGTATTCTGTGGTTTCCCACACTTATAGAGTAATTTTCAGTCAAGTGTTGAAAGTGATCCAGGAATGCATCGGTTTTACCATGTTTCGACCTGTGTGTCGAGGACTGGAGATAATAGTTTCATTGTTGTTGCGTTACACTAAGAGACCAGAAACACGTGAATAAGGAACCGGAAACTCGTGACTTTGTTCTGTTAAAGAAAAAAGGTTGTCTCTATTTTCAGCTTGTCGGTTTATCTGCAGATGTGATTGCGGAGAATGTTTTTCTAGACTTTTGAAAAGTTGACTCGTGTGTTGGCACGTTTTCTTCATTGTGATTGGTCTAAAAAAACGTGCATCATGCTCGAAACCATGCTCTTTTTTCTCTTTCCTGCCCCATGACTTTTACTTCTCTTGAATTTACCAACATTGTTATTGAAAAAAAAAAAAAAACATGTAAAATTACAATCCCCATTTTGATTTTTGCAGACTTCTCTACTGCTGAAACAGTAACACACTCGCCACCCAAGTCACACTCGGCCACTGTAGCGGGAGCGGTTGGTGGGGTCGTAGCACTTGTTATTGTTGCCGTGGTGATCTCTTGTATCTGTAAACGGCGAAAGAAAAAATTGAGCAAGGGATTCGCGGGCGTCACTTTCACAGCCGTGTCAATGAGAGACAGAATTAGAGCCGAGGCCCTGCGCGCCCTCGACGAGAGCAAGGTCATGAGTCTGTTTAATCCTGATGATATCAAACAGGTACCGCTGACCAGTATAGAATATGTAAGGGATCTTGGTTCCGGGAACTTTGGTTTGGTATTTTTGGGTAAGTATGGTCCACACGCTGTAAAAGATTTGCGAAGAAAGATAATGTTTAAATATAGTTTAATTCTCTGTCTTGTACAACACACTTGTGAAGGTAACGAGCTCGTGTAATTATAGTTTGACCATACATGGTAAACTACTCAAGTTATTGCAGAGAAAATTATCTTTTTGGGTGGGAAACGAAAAAAAATAACAGCACTAAAAGCTACGTAACTTTGAATTTCCGCTCATAAAGTTAACATACATAGCTCTTGGTGGATCATTTTTACCATCTGTCGTTCGCCCTTACGAATCCTGCCAACACTCGTCAAGCATCAGTATTCCAAAATTCGCCATGGTGTTTTATTGGCCTTGAACCTCATCAACTTTTGTTTGATAAGCAACCAAATTATTCACTTGTTCACCTATGCGGCCAACAATTACTTTCCCAACATATAACATTTCCCTTCTAACAAGATTATCCAACAACAACATCAACACCGGCCGCCGATGAATTATCTTGAAATAATTTCATAGTAGCAAAACTAGCCCTTAATTACACTCTAACATCAATACGTGTGTTCTCCATAATGTTGTCTATACATTTCCTAAGGTCCTGACTTGGAGAATTTGTTCAACAATCAGAAGTTTCTTTAGTTGGTGATCATTTTCGTTATTCTCATGACTTCAGTGTGTGATTCAGGGGTGTTATTGAACGGAGAAATTAGATGTTGCTCACTCTTAGCTTAGGGGTTTCAATGATTGAAAATACTGGTTCTTCTCTGTTTTAGGAAGAGTGTATGGCTTAATTGAAGGAAAACCTGAAGCAGAACTGATGGTTGCTGTCAAGACATTAAAAGAAGGAAGCTCGACGGAAACTAAAGAAGATTTTTTCAAGGAAGTTGCTCTGATGTCCCTTCTGCATCATACGAACATTGTTGAATTGTTAGCGGTCTCTACTGAGGAAGAACCGTATGGAATGATCTTTGAATTTATGGAGTTAGGAGATCTTAATCAGTATCTAAGGAAAGCTGGGCCATTCTTTGAAGGCGATGAAAAAGAAAGAGGTAAGATTGCTGTTAATAACTTAACGCCATTTGACATTGCTGCTCAAAGTTTATCATAATGTTGTTACCGTCTTCCCTCCATTGAATTAACCATGTGCATTCAATCATTTCTGGCGAGATCCATCGCACGAGTAAAAAAAAATCAGTGAAAAAAAAGCATTATGTTTTCGCGCCGCGCGGAACTATGGTAATGAGGCTCAAAAAGAATAGAGAGCCTACCGGATATGGGATGATTGAATAAGGAAATAAAGAGATTTTTTAAACGTTTTTCTATACCACTCGTTCCTTTGTTATTATTTGTCCCTTTTTTTTAGTGAGCACTCACCGTTCCTGCCGTGTATCTTTGCTGGGAGCGACGTTGTCAGTCGTAATTAGTAGACAGATTTAATTTAGCACAGCTTCCCCTTTCACGTTTCACGTAAAAGAGTGAGAACCTTGCTGCTTTAGCTTCACGTGAACTCACGTTCTGGTGAACTGAATTTAAAGGCGCCCTTGAGTGACTTACAAGGAATAGTTTTGGAGCCCTTTTTACGACAATCAACTTTTAGTCTATGAGAGGTAAAAGTGAAGAAAATTTAACGTACAGGGAAAACGCGTAACAGGTTACTTTCAAGTAGAAACGGCAAAGCGCAAACGGCAAACATAAGAAAATGGTCACGTGGTCACTCTTGCGGTTCATGTTCACGTTTCACGTAAACGCGGTGCTTAGTCTTCCTAGTGACGAAAATATGCGGCCTTATGATTCTCATCTTATGATTGCAGTTACCCTGACTCAAGCTGACCTTATATCAATGTCATTGCAATGTGCTGCTGGTATGGAGCACCTGCAGACTCTAAGATTTGTTCACAGAGACGTTGCAACCAGGAATTGCCTTGTGGGTACTGGTCTCATTGTAAAGATCTCTGATTTTGGAATGTCCCGGGATATCTACGCTTCTGATTACTATAAAGTAGGCTATTGTATCATTCTATTTCCCTCCCTAGCATTTTAATATCTCATTTTTAATGTGCTGCATGGAATCAACGTTTTCAGGAGGGCAGTGAAATCGACAGTGGTTTAGCGTGGTCCGCGCTCTTATCGACTGTCATCACAGCGGTCAAATAACACAATTCTTCCAGTACATGACACGTTGCGTGACAAGATGACGCGAGCAGCGTTGTCTCGGTACTCTTCAGTATCGAAAAATTGGCCAATCAGATTGCGACATTACTGCTAATTGTGGTAAAAAGATACGTTTGAAATTGAAATTGAAATTGAAATTGAAATTGAAATTGAAAATGAAAGAAGGAGGCTTGCGTTTCCTTTCCCGATCCTGACCGTCACACTTTAGGAACTCTCAACCCGCAGACTTCTCTTCTCCGTGGGCTGCTCTCATGATGATCTTTTACTTGTAGGCCTCTCACTTTCACCCTCTCGCTTTAATCTTTTCCACATGTGGCTCTCCAAATCCTTCTTATTTTGAGAGAGTTTCTCTCCTTCTCTCCACCTTCACCCCCTTCTGAGGTAAGCAAAATCCCTCTGTCCATCGATTAAGTTAATATCTCGCGACTATCAAAGGCCACTTCAGTTGCACTCCTTTCCACCTCCACTCAGTTCAATATCTTGTCTATCAAAGGCCACTAACCCAATGGAAATCAAAAAGGCACTGGGTAAAAATCACCCCCGGTGGGACTCGAACCCACAACCTTTCAGTTAGAAGTCCAACACGCTAGTCCATTGCGCCACGGGGGCTGCCGGAGCACAGATTACTTTATCTCAAGTAATATTCTCCCACCATACTAAGATTATATTGACTTTATTTCTTCAGGTGGAGGGACAGGCTGTGCTGCCAATCCGCTGGATGCCTCCTGAAGCTTTATTGTTGGGTAAATTTACCCTGGAATCTGATATTTACTCCTTTGGTGTTCTTCTGTGGGAGATCTACACACTGGCACTACAGCCATACTATGGATACACTAATGAAGAAGTTGTGGAGTTTATTAAAAAGGTTGGTTGAATATTTATGAGTGCTTGACTTCTAGATTTGCCAACAAAGATATACTAGAATACTAGAAAAGAAAAACCGGAAAAGTAAATCAAGAGGTTTAAAACCATAGATTTTTCACCAGTGTGAGTGTGCGTAGAATACATTTCCTAGGATGCCAAAAAAAAAATTGTGTGATATTTTTTCAACTATCCTGCGAGTATGCCGTAATTATAAGCGATTATTTCCCGCACGCGAAGAAACGCTTATTAGTGCCAGAACCCGGCAAATCTCTCCCCGACTCGTACCAAATCTTCTCATGGGCCCTGCAGCACTAACAAAGAGAGCCTTCTTTCGGGCCATTTTCAAGGAACAATACCCTTTTATAAATTCATTACCTTTCATTCTGAGAAGTGGAAACAGCGCGACAATTTCAGCAGGTACAGCAACGTCTTTCATCCGGTCGGGCGTTCTTTTTTCGGGGGAGATAAGCCTTGAATCTGTTGGAAAACAAATATTGCGTGACCGTCTCGCCGGAAAGGGAACTTTTTCTTATTGTGACAAGGTGTATAACATGTGAATTGTAAAAAAAATTCGTGCATGTCGATCCGAGAAGATCTAAGGGAAGGGATTGGAGTTTTTGTGTGGTTTATGTTAACCGAAAGATGAGCGCGAAAATCGGCTAGTTTGGAAGCAATCCTGGTTTCGTGATAAACCTTGAAATGAATTGTTTTCACTAACTCCTTTATTTCCTTTATCTTTTTCTCTTCTTTTCTTCTTTTTCCTCTTAACGCAACAACCTACTGCACCTTCTTATATAGTTTCTTACAATCTTCCTTGAAGATTCTGCAGATTTACAACACGACTATTTTTAGTAACATTACATCATGGAATTTTCCAGAATTTACGGTAAACAACTCGAGTTTCTATAGATAGACTCACTTACTCATGTCGAAACCACCAGAACTTTCCTAAAGGACTACTCAAGAATGTTCTGGAAATCATAGGATAATCGATAAACGTGCCAAATAACATGTCTCCTGTCTAAATCCGAAGATCTAGATGCCTGACAAGTAAAAACGAGAATGACAAAAAAATTACATGCGTGATTGCAGTTTACCGTAAGTAAAGTCTATCGGATTCAGTGTCAGGATTTATTTGCGGTCTAACTCTAAAACATTTGAATGGATTTTAAATAAAATGTTGCAAAAAAGAACGTGGGGTTTGCAACCTACCTATAGCAGGGTTCGGAACTCGTTCCTTGGACCAAGTAGAAATCAACCTTCTTCAGCTTCAAGATCGATAAATAGTCCGTTTAAAAATTCACCCGTGGGGAATGGCGGGTGACTGACTTAAAATACAGGTTGACCGTTGGTACAGTTTCCATAGAAAAGGGGTGTTTTAAAAGAAACGATAAAACACTCCAAAAATTTATTTGAAAGCCTATTCTTAGTTTTTCGTTATTCCGGATCGTTTCTTCTAATTAAAAAGGTTCAAAACGTGACATATAGTTTATGTGGGTCTCAAGCGTGACTCAGTTCAAACATACAATTTAAGTAAGTGTTTAAATAATTACATATGCTCCAAATTATCCTGTGATTGACTCCGTGGCGCAATGGTAGCGCGTCTGACTCCAGATCAGAAGGCTGCGTGTTCAAGTCACGTCGGGGTCAGCAATTTAACTTTTTTTTTTTCGTTCGCTCTTATTTTTAGTACCCCTTTTTTTTTAAAAAAATTTTTCTGGGGATAAGGTCTTTACACGTAATTTTCATGGTATTTTCTCTCTTACTTGAGGGCACGCTTGCGTAGTCGTTTTTTACTCGGTTCTAACTTACGCGAAAATACTACGATCATAACTTACATTTTAGCGCTTTTTGATCTGCTCTGTAAGTTTTCGTTTCGCATAAGGAGAAAGAAGTCGTAATTAAAAACAATAATAATAAAAGAGTGGACATACAAGCTGATACAGATTAGAAAAGGAAAAAAAAAAAAGCTTTACACCCCTGGTGGGACTCGAACCCACAACCTTTGAATTAGAAGTCCAACACGCTAGTCCATTGCGCCACAGGGGCAGCGCTACCTGGATTGAGTGAAATTAAGGTAAATCTACATTCTTATTTAAATTACACGGCATTGAATAACAACATTTCACCCTGGTTTCGAATTTCATGTTCTAGTTCTGTCTGTTTTGCAACAAATCTGATGACTTCTAAATTTAATGCCATTTTTCCCCTATGAAAGAAAAAGCGAAAAGTCCACTAGATTTGAAGTTGCAGTGATTATTCACCGAAAATGACATTTACCGACCGGTGAAGCGGCGAGATTACATAACAACCTCCTTTACAGACTCTGAGGTGAATTCTTGATCTTAAGTGTATACCACACAGAAACCAAAAGAAATACTCTATTTGTTTCTGTCATTAGACTAAAAAATGGTCGGAAATTCTTTTACACTGAGAAGAAACTTATAGAATTGGCCAATTACCTCCGATGAAGACAATCAACGGCCAAAAAAGCAGTATTCAACTGTGCGGTACATGCTAAACCAAAACATGTTCCAGAGTTCTCCCTCCTAAGAGAATTTAATTTAATTTAATAATAAGTTCTTATATAGCGCATTAAAATTGAACTCTATGCGCTTTACAATTACAATTAACAAAATTTCAATAAAAATCCTATACATGTAATTTTACGCTACTCTATCTAAACTAATGAATTATTACGTGTTATACATATATTTGACAACGTACGATATAAAAAAAAATCTGGTGGCTTAAATTTTGAAAAGATAAGTTTACAATAAGCGTTTAAAGGAGTCAACAGATTCTGCGTTTTTTATGCATTCAGGTAGTTGATTCCACAAATTCGGTGCAGCGTAGGAGAATGCTCTTTGCCCATACGAGAACTGAGAAGAAACTACTTTATCTTTGTGTTCTTTGCTGTACTCATCCTCTGTTCTGTCGTTTACCATTCGTATCTCTACTTTAACTACTGCTCATCGATGGTCAGATCGGATGAGTGCCGGCTGGTTTTACCACTGAAACAAATGACCTCTTCTTTACCCAAATTCAAAATGTATTTTGAACATTAGGAAAGCTGATACCAATGGAAAAGCCATCTCGCTGAGGTTTGCAGACTGATATATAAACATTTTTAACAGCACCCAAATTTGGCTAAGAATCACACAACACAACAGCATTCAAGAATACTCCCTTATGAGTCAACAATATTCTAGCAATGCGGATCTAAATAATTTAAAATAGAGGTGGCAGGTGTTTTCTTATTCGGTTAACTGAGCTTCGTGAAAACGTGACACTTAATTAGACGATAACTGCTTTTTGTTGTTTAACAGGGAGTACATCTTGGGCAGCCTGAAGACTGCCCAGACCACGTGTACCAAATAATGAAGAATTGCTGGCACAAGGAGGCCTCACAGAGACCAAACTTTACCCTGATAATAGCTCAGCTTAAACAGGAAGACACTACGCACTACGACTCCCTCGACTCGCCGGGTGTCAGTGACAAGCAACCGCTGTACCAGAACAGCAGTGCCTCATCAGAAGATTTAAAAGGTATACTGCAAGTTTGATTAATCAAATCTTCAACTTTTATTCTTAACTTCTCTTTCTGATCATACATTCCCCCCCCCCTCCCCCCACAATTGGCAGCTATGTCGTAATCGGAACGGCCAATTTACCGTTGTCAATAATTAATAGTACAGACAACGCTGCTTGCGTCAACGCGTCACGCAACGTGTCACGCACTGAAAGAATCGTTTTATTTGATGTCCATTTGTTAACTTTGTTAAGTAGTTTTGATAATTTGTGCTAATATCCAATTTTTTTCCAAATATTGGAGTAGCTGACTTAATTAACGAGTAAATCTTTTCCTTTCTTAGAAGAGCTCCCCGTTATCAAACAAACAACCAGGAAAAATTCCCAGCAAGCCCTAAGCGCTTCACAGAGTGGTGTTCCCCCTCCCTCTGCTTACATCAACGTCGCTTGCAATCCTGGTTTCCATAGCGATGACTAAGAAGGAGTTTTGAAGATGGCATTTTATAGGAACTTAAAGAAAAGTTGACCGGAAATTTTTGTGCGAGCAAAAAAAGAGCGAGTTTGCTATAGATGAGGTTTTACATCATTCCGGTCGAGATACAGCTATTATTTTAAGATATTGGTTCGCCAAGCACTGTTAATAAGGCCTAAACTAAAACGATATAGGGAAAATTAAATCACTCTCAAGAGTGATTGCTTTGATTTCATTTTTCTTTTCTTTACATTCCATCTTCTCAACAAATTAGATTTCAAAATCTAAGACTTAGATGCATGCCTTTTCCCCGCCCTTGAGAGGCTTGGATGCACTTAAATATCCATTGACGATAAGGCTTATTTGGTTTGATCTTAAATACAAAGTGAGAAAAACGATATCATTTTCCATCAGATGACCTCTATTAGGCTTCTCTGAGAATGGAAAATCACTTTAATCGCTTCCTTTTATTGCTTCAACATTTAGTATGACAACGATAATTATGTAAGTCGCAATTTGGAAAATGAATAGAAGCACCATGGAAAATGTGGAATAAGTTTGGGCATCGGAATACAATCATTATGGTCGCTCGATTAGTGTTGCGGATTAATCTGATAAAAATCTTGAAAATTAGGTGAATTTTGTATTTGATTTCCATGTGAACGACTAACAATATCTCAAACAATACTCAGGACTTATAGACGATTTACGATCATTCAGACGAAGTTAATTTCATTCCGTCTGGGGATACCCAGAACGCTAAAAGTGAATTAAACCAGAGACTGAACCGTATGACACGGCATCTTCTTTTATTCGTTGTGGCCAAAAAATAATTGCTTGTAAGTGTCAGAAAGTTGTCATCCAATGTTAATTCTCGCACTTGAGATTGTGGTTGGTAAAGAAAAGTGTTCATTTGTTGTGAAGCGCATCTTGGAATAAGCGATCAGTCAGCAGTTTCAAGTTAATTGCTTCGCATGTAAAACGGCCAATCGATTTGAGACACGACTCAACAAATAGATTCTATGTTGACGTGCGTCCGTTCGGCAGGAGATCTTAGATGATGTCAAAACGTGGCGAGAGCAAATAAGTGGCATTGATGTCCATACCACATTCACACGTCTTCTTTGATTTTTTGCGAAACAGACGCATGCATGGCAATATGGAGTCTAATTGTTTTTATATGACAACAAAGCAAAATGTTTTAAACGTCATCTCTGTTTTAACTTCCAATAGATCATGCGTAAGAAGCAATCAAATATAACGCGTGTATACTTCAGTTTATCATAAAAATGCAGTATACCTTAAGACAATAATTACTTGCAAACATATCAGCTGAAATACATACAGTAGGGAGAATTTCGAAGTTACGCGTGAATCAGTTGTAAGAGTTAAAGAGTATCGAATATCATACATGACAGATTAAGGGAGACTTCTAATTTCAATTTAACCTTAAATCAACTCATCTTAATTAATGTCTCCAATGTGTATTCGTATTCACCTTCATATATTAGACTATTCCCTCCTTTTCGGCAAAGTCCGTCGTGCGAGTCAAAAAAAAAAAAATAATACAGCCAAAAAAAAACAAAAACAAAACAGGAAGAAAAGTTAAAAGCTAGTGCGCCACGCGGAGCTTTGGGAGTGATGTACACTTTTCCCGGTGCCGGTTCCGTTAACCGGCGTCCCATATATTTTTTTACCAATCCTTTTTTTTCTTTTTTATAATCGCGCGACGAACTTCGCAGGAAAGCATATAACATCCATCTGGGGAAATTATTTGAAAACCTTTTTTCTTTTTCTTCAAAATATTTGAATAGTTGACTCCAATGTATGAGTATCACAAAGTAAATAATGGTTGACGTTGGATGCATGTTTTCCTACATTAATCTAGTTTGCAAGATTGAATTTTCAGTAATAAAAGAGTCTAATCGGAGTTAAGAAAATGTTCTGTTATCGGCAATAGCATATTTTGAACAAAAAAACGATTTCTATTACCCCACCCCACCCCTCCCCACTTTTTCCTTTTGACCGTCGCTCATCCTCTTGGTACAAATTTTTTGCTCTCCCCAGCCTTCCGCGGCCGTAAAAATCAGAGAACCAAGAAAATACCAATCACACGATCGCTAGCCTTAAACGTCATTAAATTTTGTGCATTGTTGCGATATTAACTTAAAGGTAGGGTGGATCATGAAAGTGGTATGTTTGGAATAATTAAACAGATAGTCTTTCTGATCAGACACCGTCTAATATAAAAAGATCACTTTGGACTAGATAGGCATTTATAGATTATGCTAGTAAAAGTGGCATATTATGCTAGTAGCATTGCTTTTCTTTTGGCCAAATTATGCTAACATTATGCTCTTTTTTCCAAATTATGCCACCGTTTTTTTAAATTATGTTCTTTGCCAATGGAAATAAGTCCAAAATATATATTTTTTAACTAGAAGCCGTTCGTCTACAGGAAAGAAACGCAACAAATCCACAATGAATTTCAAATAAACATGTGGTTCAGGCTAGACCCGGGCTCAGTGCTTCACAGTGAACTACAAATGCTACTAGTTTGACTAAAACTTTAAATATCGATTAAGGTCACCAAATGCTTGGGACTAGAGACAAAAAATTATCAAATAATGGCATCAAAAATGATCTGATAAATATCAAAATGCGCAAATTATGCTAGCATTGCTACTTGGCAGAAATTATGCCAGTTTGCTCGAATTATGCCAAAAATTATGCTAGCATAATCTATAAATGCCTAGGACTAGATCGACCGTCTTACGGTGTACTTTGCTTTTTACCAAAAGTCCTTAAGTTTCGATGAAAACGGCTGACCTCAAGTCGATCAAAACACATAAGCCTAGAGGTCAAAACTCTTAAATCCACGTTTGTTGTATGTGCATTTTACAACAGCGAAAGTATATAGAGGGTTTTAGATCCAAGTTTGGTGAATTATCCGCAAACGTCAAACTGCGGTTAGAAGTAGGGAGTTGACTTTCCTGACCTGCCTTGCCTGGAGGTCAAACGTGGACTGCAAACGGCGAACGTGACCGCGGGTAGGCCTTTACACATTCTGCCGGCAGAATTTCGGGCCTCAGGAGCAGAATATATGATTGAGGCATAATCCGAGCAGAATAGGCCATTTTTGGCTATTTTGTATATTCTGGGGCCTGGGAACGAGTCTGAGAGGGAGCTGGAGCACGAGCATCCGAGCAAAACAAGATAGCGGAACCAAACCCGCAACCGGTAGAGACATCCTTAATGTTGCAGTATAATGGCCGATGATGTATTGATCTACTTACCTAATCTAGTGTTCAAGTTAGTAATACATATGATGCACGATCCTCGCGGTAGATAGCCTACCTTATAGTAATCAGAAGCGTAGATATCCCGGGATATTCCAAAATCAGAGATCTTTACAATGAGACCAGTACCCACAAGGCAATTCCTGGTTGCAACGTCTCTGTGAACAAATCTTAGAGTCTGCAGGTGCTCCATACCAGCGGCACATTGCAATGACATTGATATAAGGTCACCTTGAGTCAGGGTAACTGCAATGATAAGATGAGAATCATAAGGCCGCATATTTTCGTCACTAGGGAGACTAAGCACCGCGTTTACGTGAAACGTGAACGGCAAGAGCGACCACGTGACCATTTTCTTATGTTTGCCGTTTGCACTTTGCCGTTTCTACTTGAAAGTAACCTGTTACGCGTTTGCCCTCTACGTTAAATTTTCTTCACTTTTACGTCTCATAGACTAAAAGTTGATTGCCGTAAAAAGGGCTCCAAAACTATTCCTTGTAAGTCACTCAAGGGCGCCTTTAAATTCAGTTCACCAGAACGTGAGTTCACGTGAAGCTAAAGCAGCAAGGTTCTCACTCTTTTACGTGAAACGTGAAAGGGGAAGCTGTGCTAAATTAAATCTGTCTACTAATTACGACTGACAACGTCGCTCCCAGCAAAGATACACGGCAGGAACGGTGAGTGCTCACTAAAAACGGGAGAAATAATAATAAAGCAACGAGTGNAAATCAGGCCTGTACGGGATTCGAACCACTGACCTCTGCGATACTAGTGCAGCGCTCTACCAATTGAGCTAACAAGCCAACTGGGAGCAGGCCGTTAAGTTGATTCGTAATAAACCCGTGAAAGTGATAAATGAGATACAATGCAATATATGAAGTTCATATATTGTGTACTGCGGTATTAGATACATATGATGCACGATCCTCGCAGTAGATAGCGCTATTTAAGCAATAGCGAAAATCAGACCTGAAAAAAATCAGGCCTGTACGGGATTCGAACCACTGACCTCTGCGATACTAGTGCAGCGCTCTACCAATTGAGCTAACAAGCCAACTGGGAGCAGGCCGTTAAGTTGATTCGTAATAAACCCGTGAAAGTGATAAATGAGATACAATGCAATATATGAAGTTCATATATTGTGTACTGCGGTATTAGATACATATGATGCACGATCCTCGCAGTAGATAGCGCTATTTAAGCAATAGCGAAAATCAGACCTGAAAAAAATCAGGCCTGTACGGGATTCGAACCACTGACCTCTGCGATACTAGTGCGAGGATCGTGCATCATATGTATCTAATACCGCAGTACACAATATATGAACTTCATATATTGCATTGTATCTCATTTATCACTTTCACGGGTTTATTACGAATCAACTTAACGGCCTGCTCCCAGTTGGCTTGTTAGCTCAATTGGTAGAGCGCTGCACTAGTATCGCAGAGGTCAGTGGTTCGAATCCCGTACAGGCCTGATTTTTTTCAGGTCTGATTTTCGCTATTGCTTAAATAGCGCTATCTACTGCGAGGATCGTGCATCATATGTATCTAATACCGCGGTACACAATATATGAACTTCATATATTGCATTGTATCTCATTTATCACTTTCACGGGTTTATTACGAATCAACTTAACGGCCTGCTCCCAGTTGGCTTGTTAGCTCAATTGGTAGAGCGCTGCACTAGTATCGCAGAGGTCAGTGGTTCGAATCCCGTACAGGCCTGATTTTTTTCAGGTCTGATTTTCGCTATTGCTTAAATAGCGCTATCTACTGCGAGGATCGTGCATCATATGTATCTAATACCGCAGTACACAATATATGAACTTCATATATTGCATTGTATCTCATTTATCACTTTCACGGGTTTATTACGAATCAACTTAACGGCCTGCTCCCAGTTGGCTTGTTAGCTCAATTGGTAGAGCGCTGCACTAGTATCACAGAGGTCAGTGGTTCGAATCCCGTACAGGCCTGATTTCTTTCAGGTCTGATTTTCGCTATTGCTTAAATAGCGCTATCTACTGCGAGGATCGTGCATCATATGTATCTAATACCGCGGTACACAATATATGAACTTCATATATTGCATTGTATCTCAAGTTAGTAAAGTTAGCTGCTGTGACAGTGGATGGACAAAGACATTTCTGATATGGTTCATGGTTGTCCCAGACTCTTTTTACAAGTTATTACCCATGTTAGTTTTTAAGGATTAAATAAAAATGCGCATATGTTGGGTTAGCCTCATCCTGAAAGGGTGATCTAATGTCTTATTTATCATGTTTGAGTATTTTGAACCCAGGAATATCGATTTTTACAGAAGCATAACTCGAGCATAATAGTACTTTTGGAGTATAATAGCCTTTTTTGGAGGTAATTATTTTGAGCAGCATAGTCTTTTTTTCGAGCAGAAAGTGTAAAGGCCTAACCGCGGAACGCTGATCGTATGGCTCCTGGCGGTTTGCGGTCACACTTATTCAGAAACAAACGTGGGTCTAAAAATTTCTATTGTCTCTAATTTTGTCAACGCAGCTCGTAAAAGATCATTGAAGCGCCCGCAACGAATCAACGACATGCTCTAGATGACTGTTAATGTCATTTGAAAGTAATTTACACCTTGTTCAGACAAAGCAGCTTGTGTTGGGTTGAATTATAGTTGACTTCATTCATTTTTGGTTCCTTTTCATAGTTAATTACCTGAAGTATAACAACACTACGAGCGATAAGGTTAAAATTGAAAAATGCAATAAAGGTTTCATTTCATACAGAAAGATCTTGTCGTTTTCAATCAGCACAAATCGGAGAGGGCAGGTTTGGTGAGAATCACGCATTATTTTTAATGTTATGCTAATTTAATTCCTAACAAAACAGGTGCCAACCCCAATCAAGAGTTCACTACCCATTCCAAAGCAACTGTGCGCTTATTAGGGATACAGCCCAGCGTAATTCAGTGAGACGTCTGAAGTGTTGATTTTCACTCCCAGTTTGGAATTTTAGAGTGAGTGAATTCTTTTCTGGTCTATCAGTCATTCCCAACCATGATCGCTGAAATCATTGTCCTTTTAATCCTTCTTGTGGCTGTTTATGTCGCCTCCACACTTTGGCAACTCCGATGTCTTCCCCCTGGTCCTTTTCCGCTACCGCTGCTTGGAAATCTTCTTTCCATCGAACAAAACAGGCCTTACGCAGATTTAGCAAAGATGGCTAAGAAGTATGGGAAATTGCTCCGAATTCACATGGGAACGAGAAAAGTTATTGTAATCAATAGCTACGAACTCGCAAGAGAAGCCCTCATCACAAAATCAAAGGATTTCGCCGGTCGACCATGTCATTTCTTCGGTAACATTTTTGGTCGAGATTGTACCGATATCGCGTTCCAAACCTTTAATAAGAGATGGAAAATGCAACATAAACTTGCATTAACAGCTCTGCGACTGACCGAGGGAAAAGTTAACATAGCTGACCACGCGGAAAAGTTATGCAACAGATTTTATTCCTGTGATGGAATGCTATTTGATCCTTATGATATGATTTTCAATTCTTTAGGCAATTGCCTCTCGTCCCTAATTTTTGGAAAAGAACACAAACTTGATGATTGCGAAGTAAAAAAGCTTGTGCACGCCACCCATGTTTTTCGGGATTCACTTGGCGCAGCTAATTTGCTCGACACTTTCCCAATTTTGAAGTACATTCCTTTTGACATCATCAAGAAAGCAAAGTGCGCTGGTAAAATCCGCGATGAAATTTTTGAAAGGAAGTTTGGGGAACATGTTTCGACCTTTCAGAAGGAAAATATCCGTGATTTGATCGATGCCTTACTGAAGGGTTTCCACGAATTGACTGACGAGGGTTTGGTTACAAAGGAGCATTTAATTTCAAGGTAGGATGCGTTTTACTCAGCTTCTGTTCGGGTGTTTTGAAAGGAGTAAACCAAAGAGTTTTCAATAGAGCGAATTTGCATGATCCATTCGTTATGTTACTTTCATCGGGTGGTGGTGACCAAAAATTAATTAAAATCAGGAAAAAGGCAAGTACATTCAAAAGTACTACACGTATGCGTGCACGTCCATGACCTCAGTGGCTCCACGGAATGTGCTTAGCTTGCTCTTGGCTAAAAGGCCACTTGTTTTGAACAGTCCACATTCCACGAACGAACGGGATATACGAATACTTGGGGTTAAGGTTAGGGTTAAGTTAGGCTCTAATGTACAGTGGTAGGTAGACTTTCTCAAAGTCGTTCGCTTGGTTTTCTGTTCTCAGGCTGGTGTGGTTAGACTTTCGCGACCGATTTTTATCCCTTGCAGCTCGCCAAATTTACATTTTCCTCCTTTAATTTTGTCTAATCAGAAGCAGCCTTATCAAACCGCACGTCAATCAAACATTACGTGCGCAAGATCGTGAAACATGAAACCTGTCTGGGTAAAATTTGCTTCGAGTGTTTTGCTTCGCTGTTTGTTTATGTAGAGGCTTTTACTAAAACTTAAATTTTCAGCTGGTTGTACGATGCGTTCAGTCAAGGACGCAATACAATATAATACAATACAATACAATACAATACAATACAATACAATACAAGCCTTTATTTCATCTCGAATTTAAAATAGCAAAAATAACATGCTAATATCTCCGAGAAAATAAATAAATAAATAAATAAAGCGAAAAGCGTGGTAGGCTATTTGGTACTAAGAAAAAAAAACGTGCGATTTTCACCTGACCGTCATCCAAAGAATTTAATAGATTGAAATTGCGTTGTTCTCACCTACTGTTACTGAATAAAGTGATTAGAGAATCCAATAAGATTAGACTGTTTTGCACAGGAATGCGCGATTGTCTTTTGACATTAATTAAGAAAACATGCGATTTACACAATACAGAGCAATTGCTTGAATGATTACCGCCATGATTATATTCGCTTAAGTTCCCGGAATTTCGACCTTCTGTCGCCAACAGCTTTTTTCTCCCCGTCGAAAGGGTAAGGATGCATTTTAGGTTTTTCTTTCAAAGAGTAAATTGATAGAACAGGCTCGCTTCAATGGATTGCTTTACAAGGGGGACATTGGGGTCTAAAAACGTAGAAAAATTTATCCTAAGCCGCAAAACGAACAGAGCAGAACCGATCAGAACCGAGAACCGCGTGCAAAACCGTCAAAACGGATAAATTCTCTCATCCCAGATATCAAAACACTAATCGATCCAATAAAGTGGTGACAAGTGGAGCACACTAAGATTTCGCGAAGATTCAAAATCAGTGGAGATGCATGAAAAAATCCCAATACGAACTCAAAGTAGAATCAAACAAACAAGGCGCGGGAAAACACCGGCGACCAACCCACGGCTTTAAATCTGATTAGTTGAGAAGGGTTGCGCAAGTTTTTCTGGAAAGAAATCACACAACGAAGTAAAGCAAAATCAAAGCAATCTAGGATTGCTTCGACAACTGATAGAAATTTATTCAGATGGGTAAATGATAATCCAGTATCGATATCTGGATCTAAAAAATAACGTAGAGGTCACTGTTGAAGTCTTCTTTTGTGTAATCATTACTATGCTTTTCATCCATTACAGCGCATCTGATTTCTTTTTTCCTGGCACTGAAACTCCCTCCAGTATAATCATGTGGGCCATATACTACGCCATTAAACACCCAGATGTGCAGGCCAAGCTCCATCGTCAGTTGGATGACGTCATAGGCAGCAAAAATCGCCCGCCAGAGATTTCTGACAAACCAAACTTGCCTTATTTGAACGCATTCATCACCGAGGTTCATCGTATTGTTAGTGAAACTCCGCTAGCTGTTCCCCACTCAACCACTCGCGACACGTCCCTCGCTGGGTTTAAGATCCCCCGGAACATGACTGTGCTTATTAATCTCTGGGCCATCCACCATGATCCCGATATCTGGGGGGACCCATTTAGCTTCCGGCCAGAACGCTTCTTGGACGAAAACGGCCAGTTGTACGTGGAGGGCGTCATGACATTTTCAGCAGGAAAACGGTCATGTGCGGGAGAGTCTTTTGCGAGGAAAGCAGTTTTCTTGTATCTTGCCCGATTGTTGAAGAGATTCAGATTCGAGTGCCCCAGGGGAACAACATTACCCAAAGAAGAAGAGAGCGTGTTCGGCATCGTACTTGAATGTAAGCCCTTCCAGATACATGCCATACCCAGAGACAAGGACGAAAAGTAACAAGAGAAAAACCAGTGGAGGTCGGGGAGAAACTGTATACATAATTATCCTTTCCCTGGGAAATGTTAATCTTAGTTATTAGGTAGATTTAGCAAACGCGGCATGATGTATTCGATAATATGAACATAGCCGTGTCCTAGCCTGGGCACTGGTAGACAAGTAGATTGAAGTCAGTCGGTGAAGGCAAGCGGAAAAATGAGCGGAAGAAAAACTAGCTTTTTCCTGAAAACCGCCAAATGTCACTCTAGCAGGCCATATCGCTCAAAATGTGGCAAGAACAACAAATTGGCATTGATATTCTTACCACATCCCCACGTCTTATTTGTTTTTTGCTAAACAGACGCATGCACGGTAACACGAAATCTAAATGTTTTTACATGACAGCGAAGTAAAATGTTGTTAAACGTCATCTATGCGTCTAACTTCCAATAGATCATGAGTAAGAAGAAATCAAAATATAACGCGTGTATACTTCAGTTTATCGTAGAAATCCAGTGTACCTAAAGACACCGAATAATTACTTGCAAACGTATCAGCTGAGCTATCGATAAAGTCGAGTAGTCCCGCAGTTCGGATCTTTTGACACATTGATGTAAGTCATTTGACCAGTCTTGGTAGTTATGCTGAAATAAATGAAAAATCGAGACTATAAGGTACTTGTTGGGCACGTGTAAAGCCATCCTGCTACTCCTGCAGCCTTACGTTGGGAGATTTCGCGCAGTATTTCATCATTATTAGTTAGGTTGCTGTGCTCTAAATAAAGGGATCTGAAAAGTCATCAGTAGTTCGTCTGTATTTAACAAGCGAAGATAATTAAGAAAGGAGCTAGATACTAAGGTTTTACCAACTCCATCAGTATTAGGGTTGTGTTGAAAAACGACAGCTGTTTCTTTAAAAATTAAAAAACTGATTCTTTGATTCACTGTGTGGAACTTAACAATGACGAAAAAGTGAATCTTAAAGTTTTCATATACCATAACATCTCGGGTTTCTTAGATTGCATCATCTCCTATCTCTTCCTAACAATTCTTGGATGTTTGGCAGGTCAGAGGTCTTTTTTTCCCGAATGACAATATCCTTTACGGCGTCTTCGATAATCGCAAATGCAAGACAATCTTCAACAGTTAAGGTATTTTTGATAAGATCCCTTACAAGAGGGTCTCGAGGAAGTTAATCGGCGTCGTTAGTTGTAAAACGGTAAAAGAATTGCCGTTAGACCTAGTTTCCCATGTTGTGGGAAACCGTGGCTATTGAACCGGCATTACTCTCTATCGGCAAAAACCGTGGCTATCGAACCGGCATTACTCTCTATCGGCAAAAACCGTGGCTATCGAACCGGCATTACTCTCTATTGAACCGGCATTACTCTCTATTGAACCGGCATTACTCTCTATTGAACCGGCATTACTCTCTATCGGTAAAAGGTGCCAAGACTCTTGAATTGTCTTTTTCTTCTTTCTTTGATTACTTGGTTCTCTAGTACGCAATTCTACCTACATCTACGGTTTACTTCATTCTGTGTATCTCTGGATCATTATGCTCTCACACTTTCATTCTCGCTGAATACTTTTCACTGACTTGAATATGAATATGAATATAGTTGAATATAGTTTATATCTGACCACTTGCAGCCCAGAGGCTGAATTACGGGTGCAGTGTAAGGTTGAGAACAGACGTCAGCATTTCAAGCGCCTCTGGCAGCCGCTTCAGTCTATCGATCTCACCTTCCTACCCATCCCACCCCAGGGGGGACATCCATTACACAGTAATCTCGTGTGTGGGAATTCGAAATTAACGTCTCCTACCCCAACCCTGCAGGAGACGGGACCTCCATTTATTCGTCCCTATCCGAGAAGACTAGAATATCTAACCATTTCTTGATGATATAGAAAGGTAGCAAATTCTTCTCAATTATTTTAAGACCTTGAGTGTTGGTCCGGCCGGGGCTCGAACCCTCGACCTCTCGCACAACAGTCCAGCGCTCTATCCATTGAGCTAACCGGGAGGCGGGACTTGCGCTGCTAAACACTCGCTTAAACTATGGAATTCTGTCTTTACACTTCTATCCACTGTCTACATTACTCTACATTCTTCTAGTGTACTCTACTAAGAAAGTTCTAAAGAATATACCAACATATTCGCTATTGTAATCGAAATGGTTGGGCATGCCAGCTAACGGCACTTGGGAAATGAAACATTTGCTGTTAGAACAGTGACCTGGTAAACAATTTTATGAGACTTACGAAATAAACAACAAAGTACTCAGCTGTGCTTCCGGTTAACTGAATCAACCTCTGACTGCGTTAGCCAAAACAAGAATTCTCGTGTGGGTCTAAAGTAGGCCGACTCAATAGGCCTTTTGCAACAAACCGTCACGTGACCGATTTTCCATTGGCAACGCCATACTGGAGGGCAAGCCATTCAGTCTTTCCTTGACAACCAACAAAGCGCGAGTGGGCGAAGTGGATACAAAGGTAAAGTTAAAGGTCTTTTAAGGCGTTTGTTTGTCGTGATGTCACAAGAAAACAATAAGATAATATCTCTCTAGAATTTTTGCATACAACTGAAATGGTCTTGGACTGAAATCAATCAGTGAAAGCCAGGTTTCAGACTCGTGAAGTTCTAGCACGTACTCGCTTGAAGCGATATCAATGGCAGNGGACTTTAAGTTTGGAAACTATCACTCAATATTTTCATTCTAAAGGCTTAAATATCCGTGTAAGATAGCAATAAAGTCGAATGAATCACGGGGATTTTTCGGTAACGTTGCCGCCATCGCTATCACTTCAAACGAGACTGACCATGCTAAAACTTCACGAGTCTGAAACTCGGCCTCTAGTGACTGATTTCAGTCCGAGACTAGTTCAGTTGTACGTAAAAATTTCAAAGAGATATTTTCCTGTTGTTTTCTTGTGACATCATAACAAGCAAACGCCTTAAAAGACCTTTAACCTCACCTTTGTATCCCCTCCGCCAACTCGCCCTTTGTTGGTTGTCAAGGAAAGACTAAATGGCTTGCCCTCCAGTATGGCGTTGCCAAGGGAAAATCGGTCACGTGACAGTTTGTTGCTAAAGGCCTATTGACAAATTAAGCACATCCACTTGGAATTAAGACAAGACAGTCAAAATTCGGAAACTCCTCACTACGGCCTAAACCTAAATGACTTCGGATTTTGAATTCAAATAGTAAATCATACCGAACTGACAGCTAACTGAATAATACGTATGATGCACGATCCTCGCAGTAGAGAGCGCTATTTATGCATCGTACGCTATTTATGCATCATACGCTATTTATGCATCATACGCTTTTTATGCATCATACGTATTTAATACCGCAGTTCTAAATATATGAACTTTCATATATTCATTGTATCTAACTGAGTAATATTAACTAAGCACCTCATTACAAAATGTCTAAAATTTTAACCTTTAGGCGTAATGCCATCAGTCGTTTGCTAATCGTAATGCTGTCAGCATAGCTATTATTTATTTTTTAAAACTGTCCAATTCAACTTTGATTTGAATGGTTTTAAACTTTTCAAATTAACCCTTAATTAGACAGTTTTAAAAAAATTAAATACTTATAGCTAGACTCACAATGGCCAATTATAACTGGAAATAATTGGGTTCAAAAAATTTCTCTGACAGCTGAATTGAGCTCGCCGCACGACCTCGTCCAATTTTGGCTGTCCTCAGAATTTTTTTTATCCAGTCATTTCCAAACTGAACAGCACGTAATCCCATCACAAGAACTGAGCCTGGCATGTGGCTCCGCTGAGTCTCGCGGAACATTTCATGTAATACTACAATAAAGTGTATCGAGCGCTGAGAAATTCATTCAGCTTCAAACTAATGTCACACCTTTAGCTTCAAATTACAAAGAGTTCGAGTTACAGACTAAAAACTAGGTCAATTTTTAGTAGAACTGTATCATCTTCGTCCGTATCACGAATCATTCCTCCGTGCTGCGAGTGATTTTTTCAAGTAGACAGACCTGTATCATCTTTCTCCGTATCACGCGTCCAATTCCTCCATATCACGAGTCCGATTCCACCGTATCACGAGTCCTTCCTCCGTATCACGAGTCCTTCCTCCGTATCACGAGGCAATTCCTTTTATTAGAACTGCACCACCTTCCTCCGTAGCACGAGTCACTCCACACAGGTCTCCACAAGCCTTCTTCTTCTTCTTAGAGTTCGCCGCCACAAATGGAGGTGAAGCACATCTATCTTGTAATAATCAGCTGCACTTGTTTTTCAGCATCAGGTGAGTAAACCTCTGCCTTGATAGGTGCGTTGTGTCTCACATATGGGCCGTGCTACTGTCGAGCCAAAAAGATATTTTCAAAATCCTGCGTTTCAAAAAGGAACATGATTTTTATTTTTGTAAACGGAAATGATCGTAGAAGTGAAGTGAAAATCACAGCCACTAACGTGTTAGACTATAGCGCGCATGAACTAACATTCGTTATAAAAATAAACTTCCTCCATCAGGGATAGGACAGCTTCGTAATCAATTCGACAGTACATGTCAAATTGACGTTAGGCCTACAATTTATCCGGATGCAGATTTACGTTTCGGTCCAGTTTCGGTGATCATTACGCGATTCTAGCATCTGTAACTAACTCTTCCGGCGTTATATTGCCTAGTTATTAACACAGACCTAGTTTACGACATGCATTTTGAATTATAGAGGGAAAAAACTTGCTCTTAAATTAGGCAGACGCCGCAAACCCATCTTATGTAACATCTCATAATCAGTGACATGATTAGGTGTCACACAATCCTTTCCTTGGAGAAAGCCAAAGCTCGTACCTTTTCTAGAGCCGAGTTTTGGAAAAATTCTCTGCTGATTCTTTTTACTGCCCAAGATAAGATACATGGGGAAGTTTTGACACTTTCCTAGCGGGTTGAGCCGCGAAAATGAATTTTGCCTGTTTTGCCCAAACGATGTTTGCCTTTTAAATGACCTTTTTAATCAGTTAAACAAACATCGTTTCACGATGTGATGTGTGTATTGTAACTAAACAGTTCCCATGTCAGAATCGTTCGGTCGCACAGTTTATTGAGCGTATGGCAAAAATGCCCGATGAGTGTAGATACCTCGTGTAAGCAGATGATTACTCTCACTTGATGAATAAAAAATCTTGAAGTTTTCATTTGACCATTTCAGTGTCTAGTTTTTCATACGATCGAGCGCTGAACCGCCAAAGATAGGTAAATAAATTATACTCATCGACAAAAACAAAAAGTCCTTATTCTTTTCATTCATTATAGTAAAAGTTACTGCTCGTCTGTTCTGCAGATAACTAATGCTAATCTAGTCGGCTCAGCCTTTCCAGTAAAATCTAGTAAGGTGTAACAAGAGAATCATTGATTAAGGCGCAGCGCAGCTGTATCTTTCAGGCAAAATCCTGTTTTGTAGGGTCAACTCGTGTTATTGATGTACTTGTGTTCATGAGCTTAATTTTTTTACATATTTACAATTTTAGAGTCTTACTTCCAAAAAAAAAAAAAAAACAAAACAAAACAAAACAAAAAACAAAAAAAACAGAAAAACGTTTACATGTGTTATTTCAGAGGTCAAGTAAATACAGACAGTATTTTCTTAAATGAAAGCTCCGGTTTCCGTCCCGACTATATATAATTTCTCGGAAAGTGCCGGGCTTTATCCTTCTTTATAATTATGAGATGGTAAATGATATCTTTAGACATTCGAGCCGATATGATATCAAATCAGGACGTCTATGTGGTTTTCTAACCAAAAACAAGGCATGCCTGGGCCTGCTTACTTATATCGAATCTCGCAAGTCCTTCTTAAATACACAGTTTCAAAAACGATACAAAGTATTCAGTTGGCGAAGTTCTTCGGGTTGTTTCTAAACCGTTTTGTTAAGTTAGGAACAAAATTCTGATCGATGCAGTGGAATTCTCGCGAAAATTGGGTTTGCTACGAGATGGGATACAGCGGTCTATTTTGACCACTTTAAGAGGATACAGCAGATAAGAACTGACCCTCTTGAACTGTTCATGTGTTTCACCACTGAGAATTTTCGAACACGGAAAGTTTGTTTGCAATAGAGTTTTCTCTAAATGAGCCCATTACACCCTAACTTCAGTATGCACATTCTCGTTCTTGTTTTCTATACATTTCCTTAGTTACTGACAAGGAGAATTTGTTTAACAATCAACAGCTTCTTGAGATGGTTTTTTTTTTTAGTCCCATGACCTTAATGCCTGATTAAGGGGTGGCATTGCAGAGAGAAACTTAATGTGAGTTATAGCATAGAACCAATGAAACGCAACATGCTCATATGCTTTGAGACGTCGGACTCCGCTGATTTTAAAGCCAATATTTGGGAGGGGTGCCCAACTTTTTTTATGGCTGAGTGCTGCGAGAGTAAACTTAACATAACATTGTGAAATATCATCACATTACATCACCTGTTTCGATTCAATTTTGATGAGCGGCTTACAATTACAATATTGCTTCATCATTAACTGCTCTATTAATTAGACCAAAAGCATACTATCGACAGGAAATGCGCTGATGTTCCTTTGCGGGCGATATAATTCGTTTAAAATTTGCGAACGCTTTAAGCATGTTTGGAAAGAGCTCCTTTTAAGGAGTTGAGGACTAGAACAACGAGTACGTTGATTTGCTTTGCCGGAGAGATCGAACCCTACTGATTTCAACGACGTCCACATCTGGAAGGGACAGCCAATCTATTTTTGGCTTCATCCATTTGTAAAGTTATAAAAGAGCGGCGATATAAATCATGACATGATATTATTAATTATTGTCACATCCCTTTACTCGTTTCAGTTTAATTCAGATGAGCTGATTATCAATGAAATAGTGTTTATACAGCAACAAACACTTGGAAAGAAAGGGGTTGTTCAGTTCCCTTCCAGCGTAATGTACGACTTTGTAATGTCGTCCCGCAAGAGTCTTAGGTCTTGACTAGCAGATTGTAAATAGAAAGAACACATAATTGTTGTTACGGTTTGATTTGTAGAATAGTTTTGAAATCCTTCAAGTTTAGAAAAATTCCAGCCCACCTTTTCAAAACATTTGTGATTCAAACCCAAAATGAGGAATCCACGATAACAATGATATCTGGCAAAGATAACAATTTTAAAGTCCGACACGCTAATCCAGTCCACCAAGGGGTTACATATCTTGTGCTTGTTCCCGCGCACGTGATTTTAAGCTCCCACTGGTTTTTCCACAAGATGCTTAATATGATCAGCAAAGTTCGATTAGGGGTGTGGGCTTTATGTTTGTATAAAAATGAACTTTCCACCTTTTCTTTTGTTTTGTTGTCATTTTTCTGTTAAATTTTCTTGTTATTGCAATTTGTTTTGAAAACACGATTTGAGTGCTGTGCAGTCCCCGGGGTGAAATTAACAGACAAAATCCAGAAGGGGTGAACTCGGGATAATTTTCGAGGTTATTCTAAGTGGATTTAATTAATAGGTTATATAGATTTACAGAAGAATATGATAATGGCTTCTAGTTCACATTTTTTGTCTCAGGAAATGCGAAGCTGTGTATAGCTTGTTCCAGTCAGTCGTTCAGTGATGGCACCCCTTTGTAAAACTCAGTCACGTAAAAATTATTGGCAATTTTATGCAGTACGAGTAAAATCCAAAATTCTTTCACGCTCACGCGAAATTTGAGACGATCAAGTTTTTCATGTCAAAACCCTGGTCAAAACCTAAAGACAGCCGTTCGGGAACAACACGCATATTTTCAAAAACATCAAAGGCCGGAAATTCACCATTCAAAACTAAATTGGTTAACGAATCACGTTTTTTGAATTCAGCTCTTCATTCACGAGTCACGTTTAAATAAAAAAATCAGTTCACATGGACATGAAAAGATCTTATCAGCTTTTCTGGCCCATGTACATAAAACAAAGCAGATGGATAATAGATTTCTATGAGAAATTTTGTAGTAATTGCTGAGTATTTTTACTCATTGATTGTATTTTGACGCAATCTGTGGGCTCGTCAAGATACGGCGCAACTCGTAGAAAAACATCACAAAACGTCTAGTCGATTATGTTTACTCGCGGCTGGACGTCAATAGCGTCCTGTTGTTCAAAAAAGGATTAACATAATTCAGGATTTAAGCTGGTTTTTGGGTTTACAGCAAGACCGTTGGGAAATGAAATGTAACCAGTAGAACTCACTGCATAGCTATGAAACTTAGAACTGTGGTGGCGAGCACATGTAGCATTAACAGACAGAAAAGCTAGAATTACAGTTATAAAACTGCTGGGCCTACCAGCATAAAAAGGTCGGATAACGCTATCCAACGGATAAATCGCTACCCAGCGGATGAGTGATAGCAGAAAGCACTGCGCTATCCACCGGATAAAGAATTATCTGGTGTATAGCGTTTTCCAACCTTCGAATAACCAGGGCCTGGTCTATAAAATATGAAAATCTTTAGCTGCGATGCTATATTCTCACATTTTCTCCGAGGCTTTCCGTCGAGAAAAATATCCTGTTTTGAACAGGTTCAAAAAGTGAACTTACATGCCTTTTATTGTTAGGTCACTAAACCTAGAAACCGGGTTGGGCGGAACAAACCTGTTTAGGATAATTAAGGTAGCGCTTTCCCTCTGAGGGTCACCGAGTGGTGTTTATCACCGCTGCTTATACAATTTTGTTGCGCAGCAACAACAACAACAGGCGACGCTATTGGCTTCGCTTCACGATCGGCAGAAAACATGAGAAATGCACTTCTTCCAAAATAAAATAGCAATCGATTGCCACGATTTGATTTTGCCAATGCCGACTGGGGCTGGCGTTTTGATGAGCCCCATTCGCGCTTTTGTAGGCGTTTGTGTTCACTTTGGTCAGTCTTTAAATCCAATCCAGCAGGGCGCTGTGTTTGACGCATCTTTGGGAAACAAGTTTATTATGATTTAATTTACTTGAGCTGGGAAAGAAAAAAATTTAAGAAATACTAAATAAATACTGTTCGTGATCAAATTGTAGGTGGGTTTCAGCCACAAGCAAGAAAAACGTTTTTCCTAATCGTGCACGTATATCACTTTGTTCAATAAGCTTTGTTCCCTGGTTGCGTTTTGGATAACATCCAGACCTCACAGTCGAAAAACAGGCATGCGCCACGGCTGAAATAGATGATAATCGTATGTTTCGACAAGAGGCCGAAGGTCACGGGCGGGTTGGAGGTGGGACTTCCGGTATAAAAATTAGGTTTTTTTTTTTCAACTCAGACTGTTATGTTTGTACACGAAATGCTTCCCTCAGTGTAAAAGACACCAAGGATCTTACTGTTTACTAATCCTATCAGCTGCATTAGTGGATTTCCCTGTAAGACTAGTCTATAGGAGAGGTTAGCACTCGATCAGCATAGTATTAACGTGTAGTATTTGAAAACGATATAGTATTTTTAAACATGACTCCCGTTATGTCATGGACGGAGGGAGAAGTAGTATGTTAATACCCACTGGGCGCTATGGGATTCAAGAAAGACGTTTGCAGGTTTTTCGTTTTTTGGTTCTATAGAGAGGGAAATTAATATATTTAAAAAGATTTTAATGCTGCATTTATTATCAGACCAATTTGGATTCCCCTAATGCCAGTCTACACACTTCTTTGATACAAGCCTCACCCGCTGCTCTACGGATATTACAAAAGTTTGTGCCCCCTATTTCGAATAAGGTACACACAAGAAAAAAAAAAAAAAAAAAAATCTTTAAAACGCTTCAGTTTGTTTGAACAGTTGAAAACTGTTGGTAATCTAGTTGAACAGGATTGTGCGAAAACAAAACGAGAAGGAGTAGCAGGAAAAGCAAAGAACACTTCATTCTAATTCCTTTCAGAGTCAGTCAGAAATGTGGATTCGTTATTTTGTTTGTAGAATAGCAGTCGGAGAAGTGAGCCGGAATTTTCTTGTCTAAATCAAGGAAAGTTTGAAAATATCACTTCAAGCAAGCCGAGATTTGTAACAGATTTGCTGAGAAAATACTACACGCAGGAAATCAATATTGTGGCTCAAATTATTATTGGGTTCAAGTTACGGAGAGTTCCAGTTACATAACTGCAATCGCCGCATGTCACATAGAAACAGTGTATCATCTTGCTTGTCAGAAAGTATCTCTGCTGACCTTTCAACAGTGAGCTTTCCGTGAGCTTCGCCTCGTCAGGATGGATTTAAAGTATACTGTAACGGTATTTTTTGTTTCTGCCTTGGCCTGTTTAACAACATCAGGTGAGTAAAGGAAATGATGGCGGCGGCGCTAATTTCTGCAAATTTAGCGCCCGTGATAGCGCGCGTGCCATGATCAGATTGAGCCGTAGGAGTTGATAGTTGCTCGACCCTCTATGAGTTAAAAAAAAACACAAACCTTTCTTTTAGGAAAACAGTCATAACAATTGTCACGAAAAGCATATTGAGAATACTTCAGTTCCTGTGTGTAAGGTAATAAAAATCATTATTTGTCCCTTTGAAAATCTACCACGTTTTCAACTTCGCCAGGACGAGAATGATTGATATTCCCCAATTAGGATTTGGGAAGGCCCCGTTGACAACGCGAGTAAAATTACCGTAAGCTGGGATCAACTCAGATCAGTTATCTTTCCTCGTGGCTCGATGATCAGTGAGGTATCTGTTCGAACTATTTTTTTAGTCATTTCAAAGTCCCAATTTCCGTAATCTTTTTATCTCGGTAAAAGCATATTTCTTTAAGCAACTCACACGAATCACGAAACGAGCTCGTAATTTTTCCCATCTCTTATAACTAAGTGCCCGTAAGCGCAAAGATCAACACCCTTTTGCGAGTTTGTGCTCAGAATTGCGGATTATGTAATTCGACAAAGTTATGTAATTATTCAAGAGGAAAAAGAAGTTTCTCCTGCTATTTTGGTTGTAAAAACCTAATGTCATTTTGTTCATCAGTGCAACAATAGAACATAAACCATGCGTGCGCGCTCATTGGTAAGGCCAAAAGGTTGAAAGACAATAATAGAGTTTGCATGTAAAGAGATTTGGAATTTTTTGTTTTCCTTTTAAATGACTTTTGAAGCTAACTGCATTTTTCCCGCAAAGTTCTTGTGATATAGCAAGGAATCAGGAGACAAATAATTGAATCGTCTCTATGCTTCTAGGAATGATGAAAGGAGTAAAACAATAGCTATTTACTGCAAAAATCGCTCTAATATTCATAACAATTGCTTTTGTTTACCACAAAGTATCTTCATCAAATTCAAATAAGCCTGACACCCTAGAATCACTTGCTCAAGAAATGATAAATCACCGTTGAGAATAGTTTCCTTCTGAACGGTTCAAATTCTATAATCATTATTCATCTAATTCTAAAGCGGAGGTGTTTTCGCTGGCGTAACATAGTCATGATTTTGAGCTAAAATTCCAACTGTTTAATTTTTTTCGCTCGGGCGCAAGTCATTCGATTCTATAACCACAGCCGCTTAGGTAGGATTGCGCGTAGAAATTAATTATACTGATAAGCTGACATGTTTATAGAGTCCTCTGAGACACAAATTTGTGTGTGTGTTTCGCATTCGTTTCTCGAACTTTTGCCGTCAAAACGGCTGCATCGTTAAGTGCAAATTCTAAATTACTTGATTGAAAATAATATATGTATCAAAAAAAAACATCAACAACAAAATACAAATGATTTATATCTAGAATGTGATTTCGAGTTTCTCTATTTCTAACCTAAAGGGCATCCCAAAACGTGACTGAGTTGTAATCGCGAAAATATTCTTTGTTGAATTTGTAGGTTTGTCATATTCGCCTTCTCGATTTTCCTGTCAAAATGGCTTCATCGTAAAGCGGAAATTTTATCATTTCATACCTTGGTTATTCGATACAACATAATAATAATAATAATAATAATAATAAAACTATTTTAGTTTTAATCTATATTGTGTATTTGGGTAACTCTATATTTAATTTAAAGAGCAAAACTCATCGTGACTGAGATACATGGGTCTTGCTAAAATCCTCTCTGCTGTCAGTGAACTTGGGGGCGGGGGCCCTTTTTTCATTGGTAAAGTTTTCAATTGCGTTGACACAAATGTAACAGAGAGCAGTTAAAATAAACATCGAGAAGCGAAAAGGAACGAAGGCAGCTCTAGTTTCGGTCGATAGTGGCTTCGTCTCGACTTGACTGTGCAGTCTCTATTAATTAATTGCAAAAAAAATTATTCAAATAATTCATCGATCTATAGGCAACGATAAGAAGCGAAAAGGTCGAAGTCCAATTTCCTTCGAGCCGAGCGATTTTTTCCTTTTTTGCAGACGAATGGAAAGAAAGACATTTAAAAAGCAATGGAGAAAACTTAGCACACTATAAAATCAATTTATAACCTCTCTTGCAGGGCTGATTACAATTAACTAAAGCATAATTGATCGGGATTGACTGCACATCATTGCGAGGTCACTTTTATCAACGTTTAGAAGCACGTGTTTCGATTCACTCTTTATAGCCGATCAAAACTTCGCATATAAGCAAGACGTATCACTTGCAGAAAAAAAAAAAGAAATGGAGCTGTGCTGCAGTTGGATTATCGGAGGATACGCCTGTTAAAACGATTTATCTCGGCGATAAACAAATTTTTACATATGATACCATATTAGAATGATTTGGTTAAAAATCCCTGACGATAAGAACGAGATGCAAAGTTTCAATTCTAACTTGATCCTCCTTTCGGGTAAAGATCCAATAAAGAAAATCCGTTGGGGGAAGCAAACTCACTAAATTCTGATCTCATGGGTGACACCATCGGAACGAAAGGTTTCTTTCTTGCTACGTCTTGGACCTTACCCGCAGTAGCTAGCCTTGTCTCCAAAAATCACCATCAGACGTTTCTGTATTCGCAATGCACTTTGTCTTTCACTCAAATTGGGATGAATAGAATTCAACTTGTTTTTATGAGCGATGAATTAGAGGCCTTGGCCTAAATCCTGGTCGCTGTTTTTTCATGACACGGGGTCAGTGAAATAAATTTTAATGCATCCAGCAGTGGAGACTGAAAACAGGGGGCCGAGCCCTTTTCGGCACAATCCATTAATGACTGAAGGTATTGCATGACGGGATATGATGATGATTAACGCGAAGCGGATCACCAGCGGATGGTCATGTGACAAATGAGTTTATACGCATGAAAAATAATGTATTAATGAGTTGAAAGCAGTACAATTAATTAGTTAGAACTCTGAGGATAACTGAAATTTTTAAAGGACTTAGAACCACTCTGATTACTGAAGCAGGCTCATTTCTCGTTCAGTAGTGAACTTCCAAGTGCGTTTTGTAGGGGTTGGGAGGTAAACATCTCGAGAAAAAGTAGGTGTAAAGTTATGCCAAAAAAAAAAAAGTTTCGTCGGTTCCCTGTATTCTCGGCCAGGCAATTTTGCTTTATTCTACTGTGTTGTTTTGGTCTTGTTTAGCTACTATTTCGGGTTTTTACATATTTACTTCTTGGCCTCGATTTCGTGAACTAGACCCAGTGTTCCTGATGCATGTTCAAACATTTCCGAAGGTGGATACTTCATACAAGCATTGTGGAAAAAATCTCTTTAATGTACTCAAAAGTGTCTAATTAGGCGCTGCCTAAATTTTTTGAAGCTTGGACTGCTATGCTTTCGCTCAGTGATTAAGTGCCTAACTCATCCGAAATAGATTTCTTTCAGAGCTTTGAACAAAATTTAAGGCTACGACTTTTTTTTTTTCAAGGAACCTCTCTTGACTCAAATCGAAAGTTTCGAGAGAGTATGTAACATATTTAGGCTTTTACGAAAATGTCTCCGTCGAAGACGGAATTCTTTCGTAAATCAATTAGCTATAAGTGAATTACGCCTCACTCATAGCAAAGCTTTAATGTTTTAAAGCTGTTTTGATAAACACCGTTTAAAGTCTTTAGCGTTACAGAAGCTGCTTAAACCAATGTTTTTCCATTTCAAATAATGCGCTTCGAAAATTAAAGTTCGCGATTACTTAAATCTGACTAAAGATTTGTTTTTTCAGTTCTTTGTTTCTGATTTTTATTAATCTAAACCCGGTTTAACCAAAAATGCATTCTTGACATTTGTGGAAAGGCAAACTAGTGATATGCCTGGGCCCGAGACAAATTGTTTAAAAAAAAAGAATATGAATTCTACGCTAGCATCTTGGACTTTTGTTTCTCACGCAAATCTTTTTCTAAGTTAATTGGTTAAGATCTCGGTTAAAATAGATTCAGAATTTGCCTTACAAGAATCAAATTTGATTGTAATGCATTTCTTGTTCAGTTTCTTAGGTCACGATCATGCACATCAACTTGGTTGTAATTTTCTTGATTGTGTCACAAAGTATGCAACTACTCCTGTCAAATTAAACCTTTTTTCTTGTTTTATACTGTAAGACGTCAATCTCTTATTAATGAAATGGGACTAAAAGGGATTTTAGCTATAAAATTTCACCGGGTGGCTCTTCGAGTTTGGAGGGTTTGTTTTTGAAGAATAAATCTCCGGAGCAAGTATAAGAAACAACAACAATTTCAACCTACATGTCTGGGAATCGAATCTGGGCCACAGTGGTGGGAGGCGAGCTCCATCCCTGTTAATTGTATGTTAGTGGATGAACTCGTTCATACTTTCGTTGGACTAACTGGACAGGCAGTAGCAGTAGTGAGGGCTTTCTTGTGTTTGAAATTTGTTGTTATAAGATACGTAGACTAGAAAAATAAGTTATTAAAAACATATTAGACTTTTCTATCCTACCATCAACGATAACGTATTGTTAGAAGCTTGAATTGTCAGCGATAGCCGACGAACAAATCGTTCTGATACTTACCAAGGAGTGTGGTAGCCTTCATATACATCTCGTGGTATTTCAAATTGACAGTCGACTATGTAGCGACGAGATCTAACATCCGGCCGTACATGTACGTAACTTGTCTCTGCAATCTGAAAAGCCTTTGACGGTCCCTCGCGAAGAGAAAAGGTCATTTTCAAATCAACCAAAAGAAGAAAGGAAGTAATTCTACTCATACGAAACGAAGAAGCAATATTTTTCTCATCAAATGCAAACCTAAGCATTATGTAACTGGTCAGGCCCATGCATGTGAACGCTCTCGTCTGATTGGTGAAAGCTTTTCTTTCGAGGCATGAAAATCACGTGCATCCTGCCTACCATCCACTAAAAAACCTCTTCATTAAAAATCCTTGCAGACGGTTTCAAAAGTCGCAACACGACTTTGCCCTTTTAAGAAAGTCTTGTTTTGGTAGACGTATGGTTTTGTATTTTTAAAATATTTCAAAATTTTTTAAAACGTCTTCATTTCTTTTTATAAAAATTTTGTCACTGTAGGTATATCCAAAATTTTTCTGGACGAATATTTATAAATCCACCTTAATCTGTTTCCTGACCTTGTTTTTCTTTCCGATCAATTTATTTTTCGAGGAAAGCGCTTCACGATTTAGTGACCGACTCTACAAAATTGTATTTCATAAGTCTCTACATGGATGATGTGAAAATTCACATTCATTTTTGTTCGATATCGACCTTTGGCAAACTGAGACGAAAAAACTATCCAACTATGTTTTTTGACAACCCTTCACATCAAAAGTTCAGCTTAGAAACTGTTTCATCTTAAATTCTGTTTATGTCAAAATAATCTGTCAACTGTTGAAATGATCATACCACAGGTAGCTCAAATTTCCTAAATATCTAAATATTCTCTGATTGCACGATGGAGATGTAGAAGGATTTGTATAGAAATAAACAACCGCGCTCTGAACCAAATAAACTGAACAAACCTACCTCGCTTAGTGGTTGTTCCTTTGTATCGAGCGAGTTTCCTCGGCTGATCTCGGTTTCAGTTTATTTGCTTTGACCCCTATTATGTAGAGGGCAAAGCAGATTATATATCATAAGAAAGGCGATGCAGAGTTATGTAACAAAGAAAAACAACAAGCTTAGATGGTTCTCGACTCCAGATGGGGGTGTCATAGGATCGTGCATTCTGCTGACAGAATGGTTCCCTACCGTTTTTCCATCAATCAGCTCTGCACCTCCAAGATCTAAAAATATAAGCAGAATTTTTTTTTACTTGAGAACAGATGTGTGATTAGTATTTATCTTAAATTACAAACCAATTTTCAAATCGAGCATTTTTAATTCATCCGTCAAAATGGTCTCTGCAATAATGATTTTTGCAAGTTATGGAAAACCACAGGTAGCCCAAGCTTTCATAATGGGCCGAGATAAACATGTACGTATGTATAGGTTGAGCAAGGGGAGAAATATGAGGATTTTTATGGGAGCTTGGGCTACCCAAGGGAAACACATTATCAGAAAAACACTAGCATGCGATAACTCGTTTGTTTTTCTTTTTGTGCTCTGTTTCCAGTTTCCACCCTAAAGAATGCTGCGACCCTAGGTAATGAATGAATTCAAACTAATGTTGCACCAACCGATGACAGTAAAAATATATTTGCTACAGTCTCACAAATGAACTATAACTTCCACCTCGCCTGATTGCAAGATAAAGATATATTCAAATATACGCCGCGAAGGGAGATAATATGCTCCATTGACTGAGTGGGAGGGCTGGACGGGAAAATATTTGGCTCGAGATCATGACATACGGACCGACCGCAGCGAGGTCCGTGCGTCATAGGATCGGCAACAAAATATCTTGCCGATCTACTAGCTAAAAGTCAAAGAGCATTTAATCATATGACGACCAATTGTTGAAAAAATCGAACATTTTGTCTTAGGACGTGTATGCATTCAAAAGTGGGATGCGACTGGACAAAAGTTGAAAGATTTTGCAGCAACAGCGTTTCCTTTTTTTCTTCGGGTCAGAAAAAGATACTCGTAATTCATTGGGAAGCGTGAATCCTTTCCTCATTTGTTCCATTTTGATTCGAAGTCCACAATTTCAATTCAAGTTCTCGGAGAATGCAAAAATAATCGTGTGAGTGCACGGCCGGAAGGTTTTATCTGGACAGGCTCACGTCAAACCGTCCAGCCTCACACACGTCAGCTTCTACGGGATTGCTCGCGGGGTGCCAATTGGGTCATTTGATGATAGCAGAAAAATGCTACATAGATATACATTTCACTTGATTTCTCTTTAACCTATGTTTAAGACGAAAGCAAACCAAATAGTCGGTAAATATGGGCAGTTTTTGGATCAATTTTTCTCGGATTTTTGTCATGTCATTCTTTTGTTTTGTTTATCTGTTAATTATTCGTTTACTTGATTTTTTTTCGTCTTTCGCAGTCTCAAGCGTGTGTCCTTCAAACGTAACCTCGGTGCCCTGTGGCCATCCTAACGTGTCCGAAGTTCAGTGTTTGAACTCGGGATGTTGTTGGAACGTCTCTTCTGGCGCAACCCCCACAAGGTGTTATGGGATCGCAAATAATCATTCAGTGGTAAATTCAACGGTTGCCATGACAACAGTCAAGACTCCAAGCACCAAAGTAAATCAATCGACTATAGCTGGGTAAGTTATCATTTCTACGAGTCTATTGATTTATTACCGACGAATCTTACACATACTCTGTTAGAATAATGTCCAGCATTTGGAGTATTTTGAGCCCTTGCTAAGTAACCTCCGCTGGTGTCCATTTCTTTCCTGGGTGGAGACACTGTTATAGTGAAGCGTACCACAAAATCAAGTTTTAAAAGACTCGAACGCTGACGTCTCGATCCACAAAAGGAATGATGCTGAAAATAAGCATAGCAAATGTTACGTTTAGAATATGTAAAGGAAAACAAAACTCATATCAGGAGCAAGCAATTTGTTACGTATAAAGATGAATGGTGGTAAAACTATTCATGTACTAGACCTGCTCTTTTGCGAACGCTTTTGAGTCGTTGGCTATTACAGGGTCTCTTGCAAAGTTACTGCTATTCCAAAATACTGATCGAAAAATTTCCAGGTCTTCAGCGGGACTGGTGGATTCGGCTGACGTGGATACCGTCTTATTGGTACCGCCAATTCTGGCCACATGATGATTCATCTGTTCTATTCATACATACTCTATTTCGCTTAGCTGGGGATAATAAATTGTGCAATTGCAGCCTTTAAGAGGCTAGGGTTCATGATATGATCTGAATTGGGTAGCAACAGCCGAATCGGTATAGAGATACCCACTCTTGTTATCTGTTTTTAACGCACTTTGCGCAGAGGACCTCGACCTTGAGCAAGAGTTCCAGTTCCTGCCTTCAGGTATTCTTCTCTCTGCGCACGCGTGCTTTTTTTAAGCGCAAAGGTTTACAGATTGACTTCTTCAAAGAAGGCGAATTTTTTAATCTTTCATAGTGAATCTTTCTAATCTTGTTTGCATACACAGTGGCACGTGCCAAGTCTACCGTGCCCGGGTATGCGAACGATGGTTGAACTACACCATGCTGGAATACCGCTGGACTCCCAGATATATTGATTACAGATTCGGGTTGAACAAAACTGAAGGATTGGTACTTGAATTCATGAAAGTAATCGGAAGGATAAACGGTCAAAGCAGATGTAAGGACATTTTGAGAGCCCTCCTCTGTGAATATTTTCTGCCGCCGTGTAACGAAGAAAATAAACCGTACAACTTCTGCAGAGAGGACTGCGAAGCTGCTTTCGAAACATGTCATACTGCTGTGATGGAGTTGCTCGGAGCGGCAAAATACTTTAAAGAGGAATTGGGCGAGCTCTTAGGTCATGCCGGAGTTCCTAATTGTACAGAACATCACTATTCCTCTTATTATAAGGTTAAGAATTCCACCTGCGTGCACTTTGGTTTGTTTAGTAAGTCATCTTCAATTTCTAATTGTTATTATGCAGATAACGATTAAAACGTCACTATTACAATCACAATTACAGACAGGGTAACAATTACCATCACGGTCACATCACGGTAACGATCACGAAATTGATCGGGATTACGATAGCTGTTACGATTAGGACTACGAAAACGACAACAGTTGTCATGACTACTGGACATTGACGATGTCTATAAGCATAATAATGACGATGCAACTTTACGGGTGTGCAGCACGGCCAAGTCAGATCTAGATAATTTGGTGTCAATTAACTGCGTTGACATGATATGTAAATTGGCCACCAGAAGAATTTTTAAGCTGACGTTTTAAGCGTTCGCCATTCGCCATTCGCCCTGACGAAAGGCTATAACCCTCGAAATGTCAGCTTAGTAACTCATTACAGTAGCCAATTAACTCAGTTGATAATACCAAATTATCTTGTCATACTCCTCCACTGACGCAGCACCACAGTTTTTTCAGAAATTTAATATCCTCTTTATTCATGAGTCAGAATTACTTGAAGTCATGTAATTCAAAACGCAATCAACTGATTCTTGATTTGAGGAAAGCTTACCATCAGGAATGTTAATAGGATCGCGTGAAGTTGGATAAATCATTCCATAGGCAATTATTAAAACAAGAGAAACTAATTGAATATTTTTTTTCAAGTGACAAAATTCTTATAACTTCCCTTAAATTTATAGGTTCGTTTGAGCTTAAGCCAACTTATCATCTTATTTACCTTCTTTTTTCAAGCAGTGGTTTAGCAAACAGCTCATTAAAGACATTTTCTTTGGTTTTCATTGGTTACCCTGGGCTCTGTACTTACATCTGATTGGCTGGTAATATTTGTTCTAAATTTTAATCACCTGTTAAACTGTCTCGCAAGGCCTCCCTCTGACGCTGACTTTGGTTTTGATTGGTAACCCTGTGCTCTGTACTTATATCTCATTGGCTGGTAGTATTTGCTCTAAATTTTAATCGCCTGTTAAACTGTCTCGCAAGGCCTCCCTCTGACGCTGACTTTGGTTTTGATTGGTTACCCTGTGCTCTGTACTTACATCTCATTGGCTGGTAGTATTTGTTCTAAATTTTAATCACCTGTTGAACTGTCTCGCAAGGCCTACCTCTGATGCTGACTTTGACATAGTTTTCCTATGGGTAGAAGGCTCGTATTTACTGATTTACTTCCCCCCTTTTTTTTTCCTCCCCAAGCCTTTCCGCCCCCGCCAACAACAGCCAAGGATAAAGGGAAGGAAACATTATCGAAGTTTAACGTTGCCGTTATAGCTGGTGCAGCCGCGGGAATCGTAACTCTGGTTGTATTTGTCGTGATCATCGCCATCGTTACAAAGAGGCAAGCCAAAGTTGTGTCCATAAGGAACAGAGTCCAAGTGGAAGCAAAGCACCGCGCCTCTGAAGACGACAAAATCGCGAGCCTTTTTAAGCCTGATGACGTCAAACAAATACCGCTGACAAGGATAGAGTATATCAGGGACCTGGGATCATGGAACTTCGGCTCAGTATTTCTTGGTATGCAGATTCATTCTCGGAAGCAACACAATTAATAGAGCCTTGGGATTAGTACTTATTTATCACCGGGAGGGGGGTGGGGAAGGAGGATTTTGGAGGGACCACATGGGAGGGACTATGGAAAATTGACTACCATTTAACTACTAGGTAGGTCAAGAGAATATTACAGAGCTATTCGGGGGTGGGGGTGGGGGGAGGGTGAGGGAAAGGTTAATGTAATCGTTACTCAACCAAAATCCTCCGACCTCTCCCCCATCAGGCGGTAAATCACGACCGGTTTGTTTTGATTGTTGTCGTAAATTATTTCTCAATTGATTGAAAAAGAGAGCGAGAGAGAAGGTTGGGTTGCATCTCAGCATCCTTTGTTTGTACAAATAACGAAATAGTGTTCGTGGACGCTCAGATAGTGATGTACAGCAATGAAAGAAGCAGAATGAAAAGAAAAGGTGAGATATTCTTATAACAACCTTTCTATAATTTTAGCCAATTTTCCTTTTTTTTTAGGAAGAGCACATGGTTTGATCAAAGGAAAAGACGATGCAGGAATAAAGGTCACTGTGAAGACATTGGCCAAGGAAAGCTCAATTGATACAAAGGAGAATTTCATTGAAAAACTAGCACTGATCTCTCTTCTGCACCACGAGAACATCTTAGAGTTGCTAGCTGTTTCTACCGAGGAAGAACCTTATGCGATGATCTTTGAGTTCATGGAATTAGGAGATCTTACTCAATTTCTAAGGAGAGCTGGGCCTTGCTTTGAGGGTGATGAAAAAGAGAGAGGTAAGATGTCATGTTATCAGCTTGACCCTTTGAACTTTTTATCCTTATAGATATTCATTGGCCTTTTGATGTTTTAGCTTATTATTATTAACTATTATTATTATTATTATTATTAACTATTATTCTACAAGGGCGAATATCTATGACAGTTAAACCCGTACAAAGCAGCACCGTATTAAGCGGTTACTCCGTATTAAGCGGTCAGTTGTCAAAGTTCCGCATTTGTTTCCCATTAATCACTGTAATTTGCAACTCTATCAAGCGGTCTTCTCCATTAAGCGGTCGCTGTCACTTTTTACTAAGTCCCAACGGCCTGATTCTATTGTCCTCCACCTGAAAGCGGACCCACTGAAATAGAACTAAGAATAGTCTTGCAAGTGATTTTAATACATTTTTCCCTCCTAAAAACAAAGTAAGTAGTGTTTTCGAGCGAGGCTCTGTGCAACAAGTGGCAAAAAGTGGCGTTGTTTATCGTTTTAATGAGACCTCTAGTCTGTGGAACCTGTATGAAGCGGTCACCCTTTGTATCAATCGCCATTCCCCGTAAGTGACCTCCTAATACAGGTAGCTTTGTTATCTCTTTATTTGTAAGTTCCGGGTGCAAACCGATTTTTTCCGCATTGCTCCACGACTTGCTCGCAGAATTTTCTTTATCTCTTTACTGACGAATTCATTGACAACCTTCGTTGGAACTAGGTTATAAGCTCGGGGCTAAGTCACAATATCACAAAATGGTCCCTTTCAGCCAAATTCAATAAAGATGTTCCAGTTTTTCTAATATCAAAAGACGCCGGATTAATTCCCGAATTGTGAACGCTCCCTTGGTATCTTGCTTGACAATTGTTATGCTGTCTCAATCCCTCTTCAATCTTTGGAGAGCATATATAGTAAAAAAAAAAAAAAGAGTAATTTGCGTCTTGAGATAGGTTCAGTTGCAAATTTATTTTAATTGTTTTAATTCTTATTGTACGATTAATTAAGTATCATAAATAATTTGTGCCACCACAGTCTATCTTACGCAAGATGACCTGGTTTCCTTCTCAATACAATGTGCGGCTGGTATGGAACACCTTCAGAGGCTAAAATTTGTCCACAGGGACGTTTCTTCAAGGAATTGCCTTGTGGGTCATGGATTTACTGTGAAGATCGCTGATCTCGGCATGGCCAGACACATTTATGTCTCAGACTACCATAAGGTATATGTTGCTCATAGCAATACATTTTATAATATCTTTCTCGCGCGCTATGATCGGTCGATTAAGAGGAACGTACAGTGAAATACGGCCTGCTAAACTGACCAATCATACCACACCTAGTAATTAAGAAGAGGAACTACTTTTTATTTACAAAAGAGTGAAACAAAGGACGTCAAATTGATTATGTTTTGGCTAAATAAAGGGTTGAAAGGGATTCTCAAGATTGAACCGTTTTCACCTTGTTTACAAGGCCTGGTTACAGTAAGAGTCTCTCGCTGATGATGTGGTAGGGTATGTCGTTCGATTTCAAATGGTAGACTTAACTTTTTCTTTTTCCTACGCCGTAGCGAATTATTTTTAAAATCTCACTTAAGTCAAAAGTTGAGCCTTAAGTAAACTGTAGCAAAGCAAAGCAAAACATTTCAATGCAATGACATTCCCCCCCAGTGGGACTTGAACCCACAACCTTCGAATTAGAAATCCAACACGCTAGTCCTTTGCGCAACGGGGCTGCCTGGATAATGATTTGAATTTATAGCACCAGATTGAAATGGGGGGATTCTTGACAATCACAGTCTCGTGGCAGTTGGAATAACCGGATTAAAGCAAATGATAGATTAGTTTGATACAGTGAACATGATAATGGATTTAGTATCATAACTAGTTTTTCTGCAAAAATCAACCCAAGGACAGAATACTTCCTGTATGAAAAAAAAATATATATATATCTATTGTACATTTTTGCACAAGTGAATGAAACGCAGAAAGCATAAGCTAAAGTCTCTCTATATATGTCCGCATATATCTATATCGCTGGTTATAAACCGATTTATTTAGAACTATTTAGCCCCAGGTGTGAGGAGGATCTAATTTTTCCTTACAGTATCACCCCTAAATCACACATTAAGGTTACAAGAATTGAAGAAATAATATTTACCATAAGAAGCTCTTGATGTTAAACAAATTCTCCTTGTCAATACCTTAAGGAATGTAGAAAAAATAACAGTTTAAAGGATATGCATACTGATGTTATGGTGAGAGGGGTTCATTCACAACTAAACTCCAATTTCACCATTTTTCTCCCTTACATTCTCCAGGTAGAAGGGCGAGGTTTATTACCTGTCCGATGGATGGCCCCGGAAGCTTTGTTTTCGGGGAAATTCTCACTGGAGTCTGACGTTTACTCGTTTGGTGTCCTTCTGTGGGAAATCTTCACATTGGCCCTGCAGCCTTATTATGGATACAGTGACGAAGAGGTTATAAAATTCATCGAGGAGGTTAGTAAATAGAAATGTAGGAATATTCTGGAGCCTCGAAAGTCTTGGAAACCGCACCAGAGTTCATGCCGCACCGATAGATTTCTTGTT